AGCCTAGGTGCCCATCAGCAGATGATTGGATCCAAACACTATGGTACATCTACACAATGGAATATTATGCTGCCATAAAAAAGAAGAAATTCTCATCATTTGCAGCTACCTGGATGGAATTGGAGAACATTATGCTGAGTGAAATAAGCCAGTCAATGAAAGAGAAACACCACATGACCTCACTCATTTATGAATAATAAAGAACATCATAAACTGATGAACCAAAAGATAGATATAGAGACAGTAAAGCAACAAGCAAACTGTCAAATTACAGCGGGGAGGGGAGGGAGATATGGGGTAGATAATAGATCAACCGAAGGACTTGTATACATGCCAATGGACACAAAACTCTGAGGAGGGAGGGCATGTATGGGAGGGAGGGGGGCAATGGTATATGTACACAGACAATAATTTGATAAAAAAGAAAGAAAGAAAGAGAGAGAGAGAGAGAGAGAGAGAGAGAGAGAGAGAGAGAGAGAGAGAGAGAGAAAGAAAAGAAAAGAAAAGAAAAGAAAAGAAAAGAAAGGAAGAAAGAAAGAAAGAAAGAAAGAAAGAAAGAAAGAAAGAAAGAAAGAAAGAAAGAAAGAAAGAAAGAAAGAAAGAAAGAGAAAGAAAGAAAGAAAGAGAAAGAAAGAAAGAAAGAAAGAAAGAAAGAAAGAAAGAAAGAAAGAAAGAAAGAAAGAAAGAAAGAAAGAAAGAAAGAAAGAAAGAAAGAAAGAAAGGAAGAAAAACTGTGACTCGAAGTGTCAAAGGTTCTGTAAACTCTTCTGCCTGAACAAGCCCTGATGGAACCTGGGGATGCGAAGGTCCCGGGAATCCGAGGCTCAGGTTTGCATGTGGGTTGATGGAGCAGGTGGACAAATGGATTGAAGGGGGTGATGCTAGCCTGGCCCATTGGCCCGTTGATTATATTAAGGAGAGAAGATGATAAGTTATAAGTTATTAACTTTTCTTCCTCATTTTTGTCGTCATTCTCTCCAGCTTTTCCTCTTCCATTTTCTTCATTTCCCTCCTCTTTTATTTTCATTAACTTATTAGTGAGTGACGAATGGCAAAGCTTCAGGATAACGTTCCAAGATAATTAGCTACACTTAAAGTTCTGCCTTATATATGAATAACATTGAAAATATCAAATTGGCCGAAGCCGGTTTGGCTCAGTGGTAGAGCGTCTGTCTGCGGACTGAAAGGTCCCAGGTTTGATTCCGGTCAGGGGCATGTACATTGGTTGCGGGCACATCCCCGGTAGGGGGTGTGCAAGAGGCAGCTGGTCGATGTTTCTCTCTCATCGACGTTTCTAGCTCTCTATCTCTCTCCCTTCCTCTCTGTAAAAAATCAATAAAATATATTTTAAAAAAAGAAAAAGAAAATATCAAATTGTTTATGCCAGCATAACGTTCATTAATGACCACAGAAGTTGATTTCTTTGTTTAAAACATGTAATAGTGGCCAGCGGTGTTGCACAGTGGTTGAGCATTGACCTATAAATCACGGTTCGATTCCCAGTCAGGCTACATCCCCAGGTTAAGGACTCGAGCCCCAGTAGGGGAAGGGGTGTGCAGGAGGCAGCTAATTGGTGATTCTTTCTCATCATTGATGTTTTCTCTCTCTCTCTCTCTCTCTCTCTCTCTCTCTCTCTCTCTCTCTCTCTCCCCCCCCTTTCCCTTCCACTCTGAAATCAATAAAAATATACATTAAAAAAAACACAAAAAACATGTGTCCTTAACCAGTGGATAGAATGTCGGCCCGTGGACTGAAGGGTCCCAGGTTCGATTCCGGTCAAGGGCATGTACCTTGATTGCAGGCACATCTCCAGTAGGAGGTGTGCAGGAGGCAGCTGATCAATGTTTCTCTCTCATCAATGTTTCTAATTCTCTATCCCTTTCCCTTCTCTCTGTAAAAAAATCAATAAAATACATATATTTAAAAAATAAAATACATATATTTTAAGAGATGAGAGGCTACTTAACAACTTTGCTGATACCAAACAGCTGAGATTTACAAAATATAGCTTTATTCTCTTGCTGCCTCCAAAACTGGTCCTGGCCCCGATCAGGGTCCTGCTGGAGTTACTGTGACTTTTGTGTACCAGAATTAACTAGAACAAGTCTGGATTGTTGGACGTAGAAAAGCCAACAACCTCCCTTCTTAGCCAGTCCTTCAGAGTGGGCAGGGCCTCCGAACACCTGACGAGCACACCGTGGCAGAGCTCTCTTGACTTTAGATGGTTGGTTTTCAGTCTGCAGGGAGAGAGGTTTGAGTTACAGAAGCATCAGCATTTCCCCCAAATCTTGATTTTAAAAAATGTCACAGACATGCACAACTGCACGCTTGGTATTCTAATCTTCCGATAAACAGCGCACGGGGTGCAGCGGACGTGTATTTCTGAGCACCAGACCCTCTCTCCCAGAAAATTCACCAGCTTGTGTGATCTGACCCATGTCCAATCTACGCAGCTCTCTTTCTTCTCTTGCCTTTTTTGTTTCTTCTCCTCTCCAGGACTAATGTACGTGTGCGAATATTTGAACCCTCTCCTCTCCCAGCCCCCACAAGCTCCATTGGCTTGGTTGTGAGTGCAGCGTGTCTCAGACTCCCACTTTCTCATGCTCCTTCTGATTGGTCATCACCTTGCTCCAGCCTTATGGCTGCAAAGTACTCCAGCCTGCATCCCTTTCTCCTTTCCCCTACTGTTCCCTTCTGCTGTGCACAGCCCTGGGAGTGGGTTCCTGGCTTTGTCTCTTGCTTGTAGTTTACCCCAGTTAGGCAGTCAGTGAGAGAGAACACTGTATTTCCTATGGGTGGCTGTAAAGGAAAAAAACACCCTTTCCTTTTATGCCTGGAATAATGATTGTTTAGTTTACTCTGTCATATTTGTGTTGTATGTTTTCCTCCTGGTTTCTCTCCTCCTGATTTGAGCTGGTTTTTTTTATTTTTTTAATAAAGGTTTTTTGAGTCCCTTTCTCTCACTGCTATGTTACACATTTGTTAGTTTGTTATGTTTGATTAATGCTGATTAATATGTTTTGGGGGTAAAAGCAACTCTAAATACTTATTTATTTGTTTAAATGTCTGGCAGTCACCAGGCAATGAAATCTGTGATTCTCAGAATTATCTGTAACACCCTTACTCTTGCTTTCCCCTCTCCTGAGACATATCAGTTCGATTACTCTGCCATTTATACTTGAGACTTGAAAGTTAATTTTTATAAGCATTTGATATTTTTATTAATTTGCATTTTTATTATGCTGCAGATGGTTTCTACAGAAACATTGGACTCTGCATCCTTTTTTCTTTTTAATATTTAACTACAGAAATAGGAAATGCTAGCAGAGTGTATAGTACAGCAGACTCACCCCGCCCCTTGGCCTTTATATGATATTTTCGTTGTCCAAAAAAATCAATAATAAAAATATTTAAAATTCTCTCAAGAATGTATTTTGTATTGACTTAAAGTTTTTAAAAATCCATTTTGTAAATATTTTAATATTCAAACAATGTTAAGCCAGTAGCCTGCAGGTTTGGATTCTTTAGAGAATACAAATGAAGTTGGTTAGAATCATATGCAGGAATTTGAAAATCAACCTGGCTCGCTGATTTCACTTAACTCTTAAAGATTTTTATTCACTTCTTTTTCTCTACTCATAATGTTAGAAAATAGCAATTAGTTTTGTCAGAAATAACAAACCTCAATTGATGAACTCACTTGAAAGTGAATGAGAGGGGTGCTGCTTATACTTCCAGCCATGAGGCCAGGAGAGTCGGAGCCCAAGTCTGGCCCCAGATGGTTATTATATATTCTCTGAGCTTTTTGCTGGTCTTGGGACGCATCACTTTATGTGTCATGTGAAGAGAATGAGGACATTGACTTAGCTACAGAGTATAGTTGTGAGCAAAAGTCCTTTCCCTCATGCAGCTTACGTTCTGTTGAAATGTATTCTACAGTAATGAAGGTATCCAAGTACACATTTTCTTGGATTTGAACAGGTTTAAAAAATTCAGCAAATATTAATTTAAGGTTTTCATCCCATGTAACTAAATCCCTACTCTGCCTAAACCAAGATTTCTACAGATCTTGGCCCAGCAAAGAAGTCCAGCTCATGAGTACCCTTTTCAGTAATTTAGAATGTCTGTTGTTTATATTGCATATTTCTAAGATCAAGTTTCTTTGTTTAAAAGTCTTTAATATTTGAGTCTGGGATAGATACATGACATTTGATTGATTAACGAAACTAGTATGGCTAGTATCTGTGTAGTCAGATGCAAAAAGAAAAATGACCATCAATGTGCCAATCATAGTTCTGAGTACTTTACAACTAGCATCTGGTTTGGTTCTTGTAAGAATCTTAAGGATATTGTTAGTCGCCTCACTTTACAAAACAAGACTTTGATCCATAGATAGGTTAAGGCAGTGTTTGGCAAACTGTGGCTCAGGAGCCACATGCAGCTCTTTGGCCCCTTAAGTGCGGCTCTTCCACAAAATACCATGTGTGGGTGTGCACATACAGTGCGATCAAAAATTCACGGCCCATGCACAGAAGTCGGTTTTTGGCTCTCAAGAGAAATTTCCATCGTTGTACTGTTGATATTTTGCTCTGTTGACTAATGAGTTTGCCGACCACTGGGTTAAAGAACTTGACCAACGTCATGTGACTGGTAAGTAGCAAAACTGAAATTTGAATTGAGGCAGCCTTTCTCCAGAGTCAGGTCTTCACTGACTTTGCTCTACTACACTGCCCTTCCAGCCTAGCATGCTCAGCTAATACAGTAAAGAAAGCTGAGCTCTGCTGCATAACTTCCTTTAGCTTTTCTTCCCACCTGCATGCCTCTGTTTCCCTTTATAAAATGTTTCTTATGCCATAGGTTATCCTCATTTGTCAAATCTGTACATTTTAGATGTAACATTTACAAACTTTAAAGATGTCAGAGGCATATAATTATTGCATATTTCTACACAGCTGGTAGGACAGTATTCTGATGGCTCTTCTTTTTTTCTCGTTTGGTAGAAAAGGGTCGTTGAACAGCTTCGGAAGAACCTGATAGTAAAGCAGGAACAACCAGACAAGTTCCAAATACAGCCATTGCCACAATCTGAAAACAAACTACAAACAGCACAGCAGCAACCACTACAGCAGCTACAGCAACAACAGCAGTACCACCACCACCACGCCCAGTCGGCGGCACCCTCTCCCAACCTGACCGCTTCACAGGTAAAGTGTGTGGGGAGGAGCACCACGGGCTTTGGGTTGTGGACGGATGTGCTATTGGTCATGTGGAATGAGGTCCTGTTTCAGGCTATATATAAGCTCAACCAGCCCTACACAAAGGTTATTTTGGTTCCTTTTTTGTATTATAATTGGGATAGCAACCACTTAAAATTGATTTGCAGAGGGAAATAACATTACTAAGGAGCAAAAGTTAAATCATTTTCCAACTGTCCAAAGAAGGAGGGAAAGGTAGTGGGTGACAAAGAAAAATTGCTTCTCAGAATAAGAACAGAAGTAGCGTCTTCTTTTCAGTTTCTGGAAATATTTATTTGAGCTTGTTCTAAAAGTCTGTGTGATTTCACCTCCTCTGGAATTGTTTTTCTGGAGTTCTTAGCAATTAGGCATGGAGATATTACAGGATCAGGTAGAAAGAGCATTTAGAAGGGTGATATATTTCCATTATTCATAGAAACAAAATATTCATTTATAAGTCCATATTCATGAGAATATGAATCTGTTCTAATACACAGAAGGAAATCTATAATGGAAGCTGCAGGTCAAAACTAGCACTAAGAAGTCAAAGCTTAATAACATTCTAACTTGGTGTAGCTGTGCAAATGATTTTACTTTAAATGGCATTTAAGCTAGAATATAATGTAAGAATAGGGAAGCAGTCAAGACACACAAAAGGACATATTTGGGAACGATATTCAGTTACTAATAAGAAAATTATTCAAGTTTGATCTCCACACACTTAGATATAATATGGGCACAGCTCTTTTAAATATATTTTTTATTTATTTCAGACAGAGGAAGGGAGAGGGAGAGAGGGAAACATCAACAGTGGGAGAGAATCACTGATGAGCCTCCTGCATGCCCCCTACCAGGGGTTGAGCCTAAAACCCAGCCATGTGCTCTGACTGGGAATTGAACCATGACCTCCTGGTTCATAGGTAAGTGCTCAACCACTGAGCCACACTGGTGGCACAGTTTTTAAAATAGGACAATTGAACAGTGGTTCTTGATCCTTGGAGGTCACAGACCCCTTTAAGCCTCTATTGAAAACTATGCATCCCCTTCCCAGAAAAATACACATTTTCACTTAATACATTTATTTTGCACATGATTTCAAGGACTTAAATCTTATGAATCCTAAGTGTGGATATCTCTGACCCATCAACACCAAGTCTTCACTGTATCTTTATACGTAAAGGGAAAGGTTTATGTACATTCATTTTGCAAGTGAAGAATCGTTTCTTATAAAAATACTAAAGATTACTAAAGTTTGTTAACATTTAATAAAGATTACTATATATTGGTGCGCTCCTAAGTGCTTTACATATATAATGTACACAATCCTCACTCCAACTTTAATAAGGAAGGTGTTGTATTTTTATCTCTCTCCCTTTTTTTTTTTTAAGAAAGAAAACTAAGGCACAAAGAGATTAAGTAATTATCTAAAATCATGTAGGTCGCATGTAGTGGAGCCAAGATATGAACCTAGATATTCTGGCTGAAAAATCTATTCATCACTCTTCTGTACTGCCATATAATACAAAAAAAAAAGAAAGAAAGAAAGAAAGAAAGAAAGAAATTATATAAAAATGCCAGAAAAGGAAAAAGGAAGAATCCCTATTGTGAATTATCCTGACACCAAAGACCAGATAATAGAGCAGCCAGCAGAATGTTTACCCTGATCTCCACCCCAAGGTTATTTGAAAATTAGGTATTCAAACTGACTTCTGAAACCCCTGGACCAGGACTTGTATTCCTTCTGAAAGATTGCTTACCAGATTACTTTGTTGGACTTTTAAACAGAGTCGGATTAGGTTGTTCCCTTTCCAAAGTACAATTTGATCAGAAAAAGTTCACATGGAAGGAAAGTGGCAAACTTCATTATTTCTTGGTATGTAGGAATTTTCTGCCTTGATCCATGAAAACTTTCTGTTCAAGTAACATTCCATGTCACACAAATCAGAGGAAATGTTTAAGGTTTAAGTGATACAGTAGCTATTCCCTTCCTTGTATGATCTGAGTTATGTGCTGCTTTGAGGTGATAATAGGGAGGGGCGTAGGGCTATCCCCAAAACAGTGTGTGACATCTCTCCATTTGAAGCCACCTAATATAGTTTATTGGTTTGGTTAAGCTTATTTTACTAATATATTATTTATTTTATATAATGCAAAAGTTTAATATTAAAAAGTCAAAAGATCCTCTAGGTTTTTGGGTTTTGTCTTTACAATAAACAACCAATAAGTATTTATTGGGCACTTTCTATGTGCTAGATTCTGGTATATAAAGATAATGGTTCCTGCCTAGAATCTGGTATACTGTAATTTTCATTCATTCTCTAAATATGTATGGAGTCTGTACTCTATTAGGCAATGTAGAGGATAGATTCACAAATAAGACAGAATTTCTGTCTTCAAGAATTTAAAAACTTTAGAGAAGGAGAGAGGATGAAAACAGCTAACAAAGAAGAAAATGAAAGAGCTGAGAAAAATACCAGAGGACAGTGCTTTTGAGAGGAGGGAACAGAGAGAACTTCACAAGGAGGTGGAGGTGGCATTTGAGCAGGACCTTGACAGACAAGGGAAATTTCAGTGATGAGCAGCAGGAAATAGAGCATCACAGTGAGGGGTGGAGTCAAAAAAGTAAATGCTTGGGGGGGGGGGGGGGGGAAGGAGGCTGATTTGCCTGGAGTGTGGACTCAGGAAATAGTGGAAAGGGAGATGAAACCCTAAAGGGAGGAAGCGACTAGCTTGTGGAAACCCTCCAATGCATGACTAAACTTTGGGAATTTGGCAGTTATAGAGTCATTAAAGGTTCATGAGGTCAAGAACAAATAAGAAGTCGTATATGGTGTATACTGAATACCTGAGTTCTATATATTGGTGCTCTCCTAAGTGTTTTACACAATTCTGGTAACTGTTGAGTAGCAATCACAGCATAGGCAGGGAGAAGAAAGTGTTTTATTCTAAATCAGGTTATCAGGTACCAAAGTGGGGGGAATAGGAGGACCAGTTCTCTTAATTAACTCCAACTCTAAGTTCTGATTGGTGCATTGGAGTTTGTATGTTTTCAATCAATACCTCGTGCTTTGTAGATGTAGAACAATAATAACTGAACAAAAATAAATGAATGAAAAGGATTTTGCAGTTAGTGCTTCTTGCCATGTACTTCTGTATTAACTTCTAGTTCATGCAGTTTGGGTTTTGTCAGAGTTAAAGAACCCTTTCATGAAATTGCGGGGAAGCTGCATCTTCTCTGGAAGGCAGTCATACTGGGATTGTACCGGCCAGCCACAGACAGCTTCCATAGACATAACTTTCTTTGTTGTTGGGTACCTTCCCTCTCTGTGTCTTTTTTCCTCCTGCCAGAACAGTTTCGAGGTTTTCATTAGGTTTGAATTTCAAAACTCTAGAGTCTCTTTGTCATCTAAACTCTGACACTCCAAGATTGGTTTATGCCCTTAATAATAGAATAGTTATGCTATTAATAGTTAGAATAGAAGAATCACTAGGGCAGGAGTAAATATTCAGATAATACCTGTGTCAATACCTGGTATCAATAGTAGTACCTTTCTCCAAAACGTTTTCCTTGATGCATATAGTCCTGAGTCTTGTGCCTGTGTATAGAAAGAGTTATATGGCTGCTAGAATACATACAGTAAAATGAGCCACAACCAAATAAAGTAGAATAAAAATGCTAACCTAAAGATGTGAAAAAACTTGTTAGGTTTCTGTGTTTTTTAAGTGTTGCAGGTAATGGTAAGTATGTAATTCAGGTGAGTTTGAGATTTACTTGAAACAAGTATGTTTCAGAAAAAAAGTATATTAACCTCTTTTAAAGCAGTAACAACATGCACACTTTAAAAAAATCTCATCAGTGAGTTCTGATTAGAGCTTTGCTTCCATAACCCATAGTAGTACGAAGATGTGATTTGCTCACCACTTCAAAAGCTTTTTGTATGTATATGTTTTAAATTGAAAGGTAGAGCTAACATCACACTGAGTTAAAAACTTTTATTACAAATATCTGGTAAAAAAAAAACAAAAAAAACACAAAAACAAAAACAAAAAACAAAACAAAAAACCACACCCACAAATAGCTGGTAATGTAAAGTCAGTCCTTTTGCAGCACTACAGTAACATTTCTAATGCTAATTAGCAGTTAGCTTTTCTTTGGTTTTCATCCCTGATAGAGAGTAGATGGCCTGCTGACCCCTAAAAGATATAGGATGTTCTCCTTTCACTCTCATTTCACGTTTGAAGAGGCAGTGGCAAGGAGAATAAGCCACTCCTGTGTTGTTGGCTCAGAGAAGAGGAAACAAAGATTTGGGTGATTTTGATGACAAGCCTTAATCAGGATTGCTGATTAGGCTTTGATGGAATAGATCAGGCCAGATCATTAAATTTTTGGTTAAAAGAAATAAAAAGATGTTAAAAGATTAAGTCATACACATATTAGTATATGTGTTTAAGGCAGAAAACGGAAATAAAAAATTGCCTGTAACCAAGCAACTTAATACACAAGTAGTTCCGTAGACACGGAAATAGAAATTCACAAGGAAATTTGTCCAGATCTGATTCGGGGAAAGTGGGGTCCTTCTCACTGTCTAGAGCAACATTATCCCACAGAACTTTCCGCACTGGTGGAAATCACCGTCCCTTTTGGTAGTCACGAGCCACCTATGGCTGCTCAACGCTTGAAATGGGCCAAGTGACTGATGAACTTATGTTTTGATTTTATTTTGTTTTAATTAATTTAATTTAAACAGCCATTTGTGGCTAGTAGCTACCAAATTGGACAGTGCAAGTGTAAAGAAGAAAAAGGCTGGGTAGTATCAAAGTCAGAACCAGCGAGTTGTACCAGATAAACTTCATGTTCCTGAGATGTCTGTACCTTAAGTGACTGACTAGTAGCACTAGATGATGTGTGTGCTGTGTGCCTGGCTCCATTAGCTACTCCAGTGGAAAGCGTAGAAAACACAGCCTCACAGCTGCAGTAGCCGTCATGGAGCACCAGTCAAGCCCTCTCGCCTCCATCCGTCCTCTCATCTGGGAGGCTTTTTGAAACTCAGGTGTTTGTTTCCACCTTGTTACATTTCACAGGACCTTGGTCACTCCTACAGCAGTTCTCCACAGTAAAGATTATAGGTAGTGACTCAGGTCCCTTTGGTATCAAGAGCTGGCACTTACTATATACTACCGTAGTTGTTTTTATTATTGGTGTTTGGGATTTACTGCCTTTGAGGCAACAATTACACTAATCCTCATATAATATATATATATATATATATATATATATATATATATATATATATATATGCTGTCCTTTTATCCCTGCCTTTTGTCACAGATGGCAGATAATCAGAATCACACGATGGCTTTCTTCCTATTGATGAGATCGTAGCAATTAAGGATAGCGATAGTGTGTTCCTCATTGATTGGAAACTTCTAAAAATTTTAAATTAATTGAGAGCAAGCTAAAAATTAGAAAAGCCAAAAGATACACTCATATTCTGTATCTGTAAACCCACCCCACTCATTATTGAAAACCTTGTGCCCATATTAGTTGCAGTTATTACTGTGAGCCTAACGCTACATTTGAAAACGCTGGCAAACTAGAAATCATCTTTCTCTGTGGTATCCGTGTGCTCTGTGTACACAAAAGAAATGTTGTTATACCGAGGAACTTGATTGATTATGAGAATTAATTGCTTTGTTTTCTGCTGGGGGTTAGCAGGATATTGTTTATTAGGATCACAGTTCAGTATCCTAATATTTGTTCTCCGTGTCTCCTAGAAGACTGTAACTACAGCTTCTATGATTACCACAAAGACACTACCTCTCGTCTTGAAAGCAGCAACTGCAACCATGCCTGCCTCTGTTGTGGGCCAGAGACCTACCATTGCTATGGTGACCGCCATCAACAGTCAGAAGGCTGTGCTCAGCACTGATGTGCAGAACACACCAGTCAACCTCCAGACGTCTAGTAAGGTCACTGGGCCTGGGGCAGAGGCTGTCCAAATTGTGGCAAAAAACACAGTCACTCTGGTAAGCCAGCAGCTGCTATTCATGGGTGCCCACAGTAGAGGGATATGCATTTGCAAATATATCTATTTTATGCTACTGCTGGATTTTTTCATCTCTATCACTCTATCCTTTGGGACTAACCAGGGAATATGGCTTTCCTACTGTCTATTCAAAAATAACTATAGCGGTATCCTGACACCAAAGACCAAAACCCATTCAGTACATAATTGGAGATCAAAGTCTGACTTGATTTGAGGGAGAGATGTCCTTCACAAAGGCATGCACACTGTTTCGTGTTCCTCTTCCTCCTGTCCACGGCCCAGCCTCTGGAACTTGAGTGCTGAGACTCTGGTGCCATATTATTGGTTTTGGGAAACTCCCTACTGAATTCTTATAATTCACTCTACTTTGAAATTATCACCCACAAAATAATGAACAAAATTGTTCTTGAGATTTCTAGGGTAAACCATTTGGAAACTGATATTCTCAGAATCTTGGGGAAGGATGTCCAAATTGTGATTTAAAAGTTTGCTCCTATAATGGCAGCTAAGCGTTTGTGGTGGCTTTTGAATGATGACCAGTGATGAGTGAACTAGAGAGCAATGACAGGAAGCTTCACCACTTAAACCCAGGAATCTGTAGAGAAGCAACCAGATAACTCAGCCAGGTGCTGAGAGTGAGAAACTTCTTATAGGAATAAAGGCATTCTCTGTAAGACATAGCTCTACTAGTATGTTAGGAAAGGGCCCATTTGGCCAGGAGGCAAGTTTGATTTTACTTTGGATCCAGTCTTGACTTTTAAAATACTTAAGTGCAAAAGTTCTTAAGTGTCAAAGGAAATTGCCTAAGCATGCTGAGCCTGCATGTTGCACATTAGGTCTGTGAAGGAACAAATGTGGTTGGTTCACACTATGGGATGAAGCATGCAAGCAGGAGAGTGTTAATTCAGATGGTTAGTCTATGGTGAGAGCGCATAGAAAATATTGTCTGATGCAGAGAACAGTGATGCTTTGATATTGGACATTTATTGTCCCCTCTGGTTTACTTATCGTTCTCATTTTTTAGCAGGTTCAGGCGACACCTCCTCAGCCCATCAAAGTACCACAGTTTATCCCTCCTCCTAGACTCACTCCACGTCCAAACTTCCTTCCACAGGTGAGTGAACCGCTGACAGGCCAATAAGGGTTAGGTGGCCAGGAATCCTTGAGGGCACCTTCTACACAGCCTGTAATGCTCTTGTCAGATCAGCTGTGGACAGATCCCTCTTAGCTAAAGATTCCAGCTGCTAATGTCTATACCATGACGACGCTTATTTTATTATTGCAGTTTCTTAACGGTGACCAGTGGCAGTAGCAGGGGGATGTAAGGAAAGGACATTTTCCTAAATTTAATTAAGATAACACCATTTTAAACTTATAATGTTAACTTACTGGAAGAAGTGAGCAAATACCTGCCTGCCAGTGGGGAAGGAGTATAAATATCACTTTCCCCTCCCTATTTGCCAAAGACAGCAGGGGAAAAAACAACAGCCGAACTACCTAGTAGACACCACTCAGTTCTACTCTGGAAAGTGATGGCACTGAACACCACACTTAAACAGAGCTGTGCTTCTGAGGTTTTAGACTTCAGGTCTGTACAGCTTGCCCATCTTCTCTTGAGAACATTCCTAGCAGTTGGGCTGAATTCAACGTTTTCAAGGCAGAGTGTCGGTTTTGCCCCAGTCTGGGTCTTGAGGGAGTTGATTTGCCTGATGGAAAGGTTGGGAATTCCTATCTGAGGCCCAAGTTTCAGGCAAAGAGCGAAGAGAAAGGAGTTTTGTGGTCAGTTGACTTAGGTGATTTCTGAACTGCCTATGTGATTTTAATCATTTATCAGATAAATTCTTTTTTAAAAAACTGCTTTTTTATTGATTTTAGAGAGAGGAAGGGAGAGGGAGAGAGAGAGAGAAGTATCAGTGATGGGAGAGTATCATTTATCAGTTGCCTCCTGCATGCCCCCCACTGGGGATCAACCCTCAACCCGGGCATATGCCCTGATTGGGAATCCAATCGCAACCTCCTGGTTCCTGGGTTGATGCTCAACTGCTGAGCCATACCAGCCAGGCTATTAGATAAATTCTTAATAAATATCTTGTGTTTCAAAAAAGGCACTAAACACTATGGATATGCCAGTTTTCAAGACAGACAGTTCCCTGCCCTCAGAGCTTCAGACACATTACAGGCAATTACACTGTCTATTAGGGAGGGATATCCAACTCCTTCTTAAGAATATTACAGAACATTTCCTTGAAGAGTTGACATTCTATCTGAAACCTAAAGTCCTAGTAAAGTCAGCCTGACAGAGTTTTGGGGAAGAATAAAAATGCTTCAGGCTGAGAGCAGAACATAAACGCAAGTCTGGGTTGGAAAAATGCATGGAAGCTTAGGAACCAGACGTGATTCAGTGTGGCTGGAACAGTGGGCCTTGGGCTGGAGTAAGCAGGGGGCTGGAGAAGCCCATTGGGCTAGAGCCTGGGGAGCAGTATAGGCTGTGTCAGAATTATCCCAGGAACAGCGGGGAGCCATGAAAGCATTTTCAGACAGATACTTGACATGATCAGATTTTTGTTTTAGAAAATTTCTCCTTGCCACTGTGTGGAGAATAGATTAGAGGGGGTGAGGCCTGTGGGAGGAAGAACAGTTAGAATACTGTCAACAATAGAGAATATTGCTACATGCCACTGACTGTAACACGGTATGTGGATTATCTATTTTAATCCTCACGGCAACCTTATGAAAGTATGTGTTGCTCTTTTTTAGGTGAGGACTCTTAAGGCTTAGTCCATGCTTTTTAAATGGTGGATTATGACTCAGTAGTTGGCTGTAAAGTCAATTTAGTGGATTAAATGCAGAGTTTTTAAATGAAATGAACAATACATAATAGAAAATATTAAAGTGCATAGCACATAAGGATTGTTTCATGAAGTTTTTATTTTTAGAGACAGAGATATATGTCTATGTGTGTATACTGGTTACAGTGTGAAATTATTTCCTACTATATGACTACAACACCCACCACAGGGTCACCTTAAATTAAGCTGAACATTCAGAGTCGCCTGGGTCCACACTTGGCAACAGTGTACTTAGAACAATGCAGGACAGAAACCAGCTTTTTCTCAGCATCAGCCATTTTTTCTTGAATGTGCATCTCTACAGTAGCCATATGCAGTCTCCGCACCTGCCCAGGGATAGCTCAAAGTTGGGGAAATCAGGGCAGTGGGAGAGCCACTCCGCCATATAAACCTTATGCCTCACAGAAGCCAGTGTATCTTACAATGATTCCATAGGCATGGTTTGCAAGGTCCCTGCAATGGACATGCCCAGTTATAAGCATGACCCCACTTTGGGAATCCTAAAGTATGGTGTCCCAAGTATTTATGGATCTCGCCATTAAGATTCGATTTAGCAATAAGGGTCATTCTCACTATAAGCAATGTTGCCTGGTAACATAGTTGATATTCTTACCTTTATTGGGTTTCCAGGAAAACAGAACAGGAGAATTAACTAAATTAACTGAATCCTTCCCTCTAATACATAAGAGGGAAGGATTTTGCCCATAAGATCACAGTTTAGAAAGTTTGAAAAATACTGGCTTAGAGAGATTAGGTATGTTGCTTTAGGTTATACAGCTAGCAAGTGGTAGAACCAGGATTTGAACCCAGGCAAGGCTGACCCATGCTTTTAATTAAATTTCTGCCACTGTTTAAGTAAACCAAACATAGGGTAAAGTAGTGGCAGTGAGAAGAGAAAGTAGGACATATTTGAGAAGGATTTAGGAAGTTGAAGTGGAGGAGGAAACATCAAGAATTGTTCTGAGCCAAAACTGGTTTGGCTCAATGGATAGAGTGTCAGCCTGGGGACTGAAAGGTCCCAGGTTCAATTCCGGTCAAGGGCATGTAACTTGATTGTGGGCACATTCCCAGTAGGGGGTGTGCAGGAGGCAGCTGATCAATGTTTCTCTCTCATTGATGTTTCTAGCTCTCTATCCCTCTCCCTTCCTCTCGGTAAAAAATCAATAAAATCTATTTTTTTTAAATGTTATGAAGTTTATTATATTTAGGAAAGAAAGGAAAATTTACTGAGATGATGATTTTAAGAGGAAGAGAAGGTTGCAGGAAGAAATTAATGAGTTTTAGATATGTTGATTTTGAACTTCTTGTGAGATTTCCAAGTAGAGATGTCCAGCCGGCAGTTGGGTATGATTCTGAAATTTAGGAAATGTCTGGGCCTGAGATACAAGGGCGGAAGTCTTAGTACATTGATGGAAACTGAAGCCCCAGGGTGGATGAGAACTCCCAGGAGAAGTGAGGATACTGGGAAGAAAAGTTCCAGGACAGAATCCCAAAGTACACTTACATTTAGTGTTAGAGGAAGAGGAAGCACACAAAGGAGACTGAGAGAAGGGGTGGCCAAGAACAGGGATTAAAGGGTCAGAGATGGGGGTGAACTGAAGTGTGGATAGGAAGAAATTTAGAATGTGAATTAAGGCCATAGACAGCATTATTACCATACTCTGCTGCACAAATTCTGAGTGAGACCAGTCTTTGGATTGGGTATTTGATCTCAACTTAAAAAGATGGCATATTTAAAAGAAGGAGCTAAGTTTAGAATCAGAAGAACTGTGTTCTAGGGTAGCATTTGGACCCTCTAAAGATCTGATGAGTATTGTATTTTTATTTTTAAATATATATATTTTATTGATTTTCTACAAAGAGTTAGAAACATTGATGAGAGAGAAACATTGATCAGCTGCCAAAGTGCATTCCCTTGACTGGAATCGAACCTGGGACCTTCCAGTCTGCAGGCCGACGCTCTATCCACTGAGCCAAACCGGTCAGGGCGAGCTGATGAATGTTTTATAAGATTATATATCCTGAGTCTTATAGAAATAACAAAACCAACGTGAATATTAAGATTTGTACTAAATAACATTTCACGTACACAGTGTAGACAATCTGATAATTGCTTCTAGTGAGTAATATGGTAATTTTTCTCTCTTTCCCCATAGGTTCGACCCAAGCCTGTGGCCCAGAATAACATTCCTATTGCTCCAGCACCTCCCCCTATGCTTGCAGCTCCTCAACTTATCCAGAGGCCTGTTATGCTGACCAAGTTTACCCCCACAACCCTCCCTACCTCCCAGAATTCCATCCACCCCGTCCGTGTCGTCAATGGGCAGACTGCAACCATAGCCAAAACGTTCCCCATGGCCCAGCTCACCAGCATTGTGATAGCTACTCCAGGGACCAGACTGGCTGGACCTCAGACTGTACAGCTTAGCAAGCCAAGCCTTGAAAAACAGGTACAGGCAAGAGTATGCACCTGCTCTGGGCATTAGCCTTGCCATTGAGGTTAGGCTATCTCTACATTTTCTCAAAGGCTCTTTACCTCAGCAGCGTTGTCAATGACCTGTTGCTTATCATGTGATAATTCATTTAAAGTTCAAAAGGTAAGGAGTCATGGGTCAGACTGTTGGACCTCAAAGGGAGAGTGGGGATAAAAGGGAGAGATCAACCAAAGGACTTGTGTGCATACATATGAGCCTAACCAGTGGTCAAGGACAATAGGGGGGTGGGGGATTGGAATGAGGGGTTGAGGACAAATATGTGATACCTTAATCAATAAAAAAAAATTAAAAATAAATAAAATGCAAAAGGGCCATTATTACTGAAGAAAGTTGGGTTGCTTTTTCCATTATCCCCTTATAGATGGATTCATAGTCCTGTGTGAATGAGCTCCCCCTACTGGTTGTGAAGCAGAAATTCATAAATGGGTTCTGCTACCTTTAGTCAGGAGGCACAGATGAGATGGTAAACAGGAAATCCATATTAGTTTTGACCCAGTAAGAATCCAGATGAAGATGGGACTATGAACGTCAGGAATAATAAACCTCAAAATTTTCCCCTGGTTATTATAGATAATTAAGAGTCAAATGAAAAAAAAGTAAAATTTCTAAAAGGTATTCTTTTAACTCTAGAGGGTTTTAGTTCAAATATTGAAGCCTTTCATTTATATTTCTAAAAACAGATGTTTTCTTAAAAACATGAGGCTAGAGCAGTGGTCGGCAAGCTCATTAGTCAACAGAGCCAAATATCAAATGTTCAACGATTGGCTTTTTTTGAGAGCCAAATGTTTTAAGCTTAAACTTCTAACGCCACTTCTTCAAAATAACATACCCAGACCTTGGTATTTTGTGGAAGAGCCACACTCAAGGGGCCAAAGAGCCGCATGTGCTCGCGAGCCACAGTTTGCCAACCATGTGGCTAGAGAAATACAGGTAACCTTCAAAAATACTTAAGGGTTCATGACAGAAAGACTTTTAAAACAAAACAAAACAGATTATAGGCAGTCACCATGTATTCTATTTAAAGAAAAACCAGTGATGATAAAGAAGAATTTTGCAAAGAAAAGCATCCTCTTTCAGAAGTTGCTTTTAAAGTCATTGACTTATTTCTGATTGCTCAGGCTTGGGTTCTCATTCACATGAACATAGGCTCTGCTGATCCTGAATCATGCACTTCTGGGTAGCTGATGGTTCAGAGAGGCCGGCCAGATGGTGGGGATAAGAAGGCTTCCTGCTACCTTGCCTTCTTGAACAGGAACCTTACGCATGGAGCGCCTGGCTTCCTACCCAGGCAGCTTATCACTGCAGCAGGCCTAAGAGGCTGGATACCAAAATAGAGAACATGTCTCTATTCCTTGCTAGCCTACTCAAGCCCCAGGAAATGCTTTGAGGGACATTCAGAAATAAATTACTTGCACATATTTTAGGTCAGAAGTTTTCAAACTTACCGTCAGCAGAACTTCAGTATTAAAATCTTGAATGTAGAATGCTCAAGCTTAGGAGTCTGGGTAGAGGCATATTTGACAGTCATCTGGCCTTGTGTACAGGGATGGCTCTCAAAATACCTCTTAGAATTATAAAGGATGTGGTTTCAAAACACTATTTTAGATTGCTAAATATGATTTCTCTTTGACCTCTTCATAAAGAAATTTTTAGGAGACAAGAATTTTTTCAATTTTATTTTTACGTTTCTTTTTTCAGATTACAAAGAAATACATATTCATTATAAAAGAAAAATCCAGACGTTCCTGAAATGTATGTTGTAGAAAGTGCATTCCCCATAATTTATGAAAGTAAAATTTGCCCATAATTTACCCCTCCCCAAAGTTGCTATTAACAGTATAGGTTACATTCCTCCACATAGTTTCTAAGCGTACACTAATATTTTAAAAGCAAAAAAAAAAAATCATTATATATTATTTTTTAACTTGCTTTTTTTCTTATTAGAGCTTAAATGTCTTTTCGTGTTCTGGCCTTACACATTGATAGAGCTTTTAATTTTAGTTGTAATATCATAGAAAGGTGCCATGAATTATTTTTTTAAACATTCTTTCCTAGTGGTAAATTCTGTGGTTTATCTTCTTGTTGACCTAATAGAGGGCTCCAGTTCATTGCTGTTTTAGTTTAATAGGCTACCTGGCATAACAGTCCTGCTGGTTACCAAGCTCATCAAGGAAGCTCTTTGTGGGTTTTTTGTTTTGTTTTTTTAATCCAGTTCTGAGATACTTGTACTCTTCAGTGTGAGAGAGAGCTTGGACCCTGGATAATTCTTGGTGGAGAGGAATTGGTTTGTCCTTCCCTGGAGGCGTTACCACTCCATGCTTTTGCAGCCTTTGAGATGGGAGTGAGTGACCTCAGGAAATTCATAGAAGGAGCAACAATCCTTCCACTTGACCTTCATGCCTCCCTCCTCTCTCAGACTTCTGTCCTTCCACATTAAGAAAGCTGTGGACACCCGAGCCTTTGAAATGTCATTATAAACCGCTTCCCCATGTGTTTCCTTGTAGGTATGTTTGGGGGTTTGTTTTATGGAGTCATTGTGTCCTTTTTGGCTCAAATATGAGAGGTGTGAGAGAGAGGAGACAGTGATTCTCCTAGGGGTCATGCTCCCCACAGGAGATCAGCGTCTCTTTACAGTGCATCTGCTCTATGTGACGCACTGTGCTAGGCACCAAGGGTGCAAAAGTGTGTTGACCAATCCCTGCTCTCAAGTGTGTAGAACAGAGGAGGAAATAAGAGACAAGGCGGTATGTGTACCCAGAAACAGATGCTTACACTTTCTCAAAGTAATATGAGAATCAAGGAAGATATGAAAGTAGCCAGGAAAGAGTGTGAAAGACCTTTGTGATTGTATAAAATGTTTTACAGCATAATGGTTCTTGAGAACTTTTGATATCCTGCCCATAGGACTGAAGTCTTTCATTTGGCTCCCGCTCATCGATAATCAGTTTCATTCTCACTTATTTAATTACTTATTGTTGCCATATAAAAAGACCATTGGCATCTGTTTCTTTAATTTTGAAAAAATAAATTAGGTGTGTGTTTAGTTTTTCACCCACTGTGCTAGCATTATTTCAGGGTTTATAGAGGGCTTCAGAAAGTGAACTAGTCATTGGGTCATGGTAAGAATAGTAACGCAAGCCCAGTCTACGAATTTGCTAGCTGCCGTTTGTGTCTGAAGATAATAATGCTGCTGGTGTTTCTTTGTGTGAATGGATGCATTTGGAAGACAAGGTTGCAGGTAATCAGGATGTCAGCTTCTAGCGAGATGACCTTTCCTTGGCAATTGCATCTCCCTAATGGGTGATGCAGACAGGTTTTAAACATCCCAGGTGAGGGCACCTCTGCAGCCTCTCTTGGGTTGTAATTAGAAATGTTCTGAAATAGAAGTGTGTACATGTACGAGGGGTTTTTTTTGTTTTGTTTTCTTTTTTACATCTTTCGGATCTTAGGCATGCTGTGTACTGGAGCTTGACCCATATGTAATAAGAGGGCTTGTTTTTGAAAAACTGCCCCTAAATGCTAAAATACATTAAAATCAGAGAGAGCTGCCTATATTTTATTCTTATACCTAGGAATTAAGCCTGGATTTTTCTTTTTGTATAATTTAAACTGTTGTATTATAGATCCATATTTACTCTAGTCACGCAATTTAACCATTTCAGCTGGGGCCTTACATTTTACATTTCTTCCAAACTGAAGTCTCTATTACCTCCTTTATTACTATTTCCAGTTTGAGAATGTTTTTCTTTCCTTCCTTGTTGACTACAGTCAAACTGTTTGTTTTCATTCTTTTAATAAAAAGTGAATTCTGAATTTTCATTTAATTTTCTTTCCCTAGACAATTAAATCTCACACAGAAGCAGATGAGAAACAAACAGAGAGCCGCACCATCACTCCACCTGCTGCACCCAAACCAAAACGGGAGGAGAACCCTCAGGTAGGTCCAGCTCTCTGCAGGCGTGGCTCAGTCTAGAGATTGACTTACTCTCACACATCAGGAGGGACATGTGCTCCTGAACACTTTGCTTGCCTTTTCTTTTGCTCTCTCACTATTCAGTAATGTTACTTCCAAGTTAGGTTGGCCGAGGGCAGATGAAGAGTCTGGCCGTGAGTGTCCATGAGCTGGCATAGGGCATTTGTACACATCACAAATTTGAAATGTAAGATTGGGGATCGTTTTCCCAGCTATCCCATTGTACTTCCAGTGATCACTGTTTATTTGTCTCAGCCAACATTTATAGGCTGTTCAGGTCACTCAGCTAAGGTCTGTTTACGGAATCGATTACAGTTGTCACATTTGCTTTTTGTTGTTACTAGTGTATTGTACTAGATTCCCAAATCCCAAATGAATCAGTAGCTGGAAAGTAGTTCATTGAAGCATAGAAGTAGGGATGAAAAGAGTAACATCTATACCACAACTTAGGATAGAATTCTAAACTTAAATAGCAAATAAGACTCTGGTACAAACATAGAATGTGAATTTATATGTCCTTAGACAAGAGAATCTTTAAGTTTGATGACTTAGCGTAAGCAGCTATAAAATACAATTTGGACAGGTGATCTGATGATGAATATTTAATAGTTGGATTTTATTAGACTGGTGATTTTCTTCTGTGCTCAGTGCATTCTCTGTGATGAAACCCTGCCAAACAGTGGCATGAAGCCATCAAAGCATCATGTCATTGAGAAAGACAAAACTATGATTTATTAAGCCAGAAAGGTTTTTCTTTTTTTAAATATAATTTTATTGATTCCAGAGAGTATGGGAGAGGGAAAGAGAGAGAAAAATATTAATGATGAGAGAGAATCATTGATTGGCTGCCTCCTGCACAACCCCTACTGAGGATTGAGCCCACAATCCAGTCATGTACCCTTGACCGGAATCAAACCGAGGACCCTTCAGTCCCCAGGCCAACACTCTATCCACTGAGCCAAACCAGCTAGCATAAGCCAGGGAGGTTTTGATAAATGATAATTCTTTCTGATATGAAATAAAGGAGGGTCCAAAATTTGAACCAAATTGCTGAAAAACTTGTAAAATCATCCATAAAATTTTAAAAAGTATAATACTTAGAGAGAGAGAGAAAAAAAAAAAGAGTAAGCTGTTAGCAGAATTTCCTTATCAAGAGAAATTAAAGGATATCTTATGTCAGTGGCATGGTGCAGGCAAGCAGGTACCAGCCATCATAGGTAGCAGCAGGCATTTTACCTTCTGGTTGGGCAGAATCACTGCCATAAAGAAGGTAAACTGGTTCTCGCACATGTGTGATACATAGATGAGACAAAAGTTCTTGACAACTTTTTGTTTTATCACTGAAAATCTGTTTCACAGGAGAGGATTTTTTTAATTTAATAATTCTCTCATGAACTCTCAGTCTAGGCTGGCAGAGATGAGTTGGACGTGAGTGGCCAAGAAGGGCGCAGTCAGCAGAGTAAGAGAAAGTGCATCTGAATGTCAGTCCTCACACTGCTTTAGCAGAGAGCGTTGCTAGACAGCCTTCCAATCTTGATTGCGTTTTGAAGGAATAGTGGGAATTAGGATGTAGTTATTTTTGGCAACCATAAAATGTATGCCCTTTCAATATACAATGTGGAAAATGGGCAGTAAGTCCAAGACTGCTTTTTCCTGCCAAAGAACTCTGGCTGTTGGAGAGAGAGGTGCCCACCTAACTTTGGAATAAGTAATAAAAACATTTCTTCAAGATTCTGAGATAATAGTAAAGGGCATTTCTGTTCTCCAGTGTCTGCCTCAATGACTGTATTTTCATAAAACCCTATCTTGGGTAGCCTGAACCTGTCACATCTGGCCAAAATATCATGGTATTTAATGTTGACGATGAAATGTCAGGGTTTTTTAAGACCCAACTGTGGTATAAGTGATTCTATAGGAGGATGTCTCCTAGCAATTGATTATATTCTTTATTCATCGGCAAAAAAAATTGATGATGCATTCTTTGGCATGTATACCGCCCACATGCAGTGGTACAGCAGAAAATGGAGACATACTTTCCAGACCACATGCAACCAAAGAGAAAAGTAGGCACCAATTTGTTACTTTCTCCAACTTTAAGCATCTGATGTGTCAGCTATGAGGTGCAGTATCCTAATCAATCTAGTCAGAGAAAAATCACTCCATATTTTTAGGCCCATGTTTGAATGAAAAAATCATAGTATTAAATAGAACACCTGCTATCATTCCTAAAATTCATTTAGCTTTGAGTTAGCGTTGTCCAGTCAGTGGTAGCAAAAAATGTAAGAAACCCTGACTTGACATGATGAGTAACTAGGCCTAGTCATGACGAGTAAACTAATTATAATTTTTAGCTTATTGTATGGGAGGCTCTGCCTGTTTTTTGAATATGAAATCCTCTTCTCTCTAAAAGGATTTTTAAAAATATTTTTATTGATTTTTTTTTTTTTTTAGAGATAGAGGAAGGGAGAGGGATAGAGAGAAACAGGGCTATGAAAATAAAACACTTTTTGACTGCCTCCTGCATGCCCCCTACCATGTGCCTTGGCTGGAAATTGAACCAGCAACCTCTCAGTGCACAGGATGACATGTAACCAACTGAGCCTCAATGTCCAGAACTCTAAAATGATTTTTTTTTTATTAAAGAAATACATTGGGCCACTCAAAATGCTGATTTCTGCCATTGAAGACGCAGAAGCTGGAGGCCCTTGTCCTTCTCTTTTGGACCCTGTAAGCCAGGGAAGCGGTGGAGTGACTTCATAGCTGTTAGGAGTAGAGGATGCCCCGCTTTTTTCACCTGAACCTGCCTCCTTCAGGCCGCCAGCCCACCAGGCTGCCTTTCTCTAGAATTCTAGTTGGGAACATGTGGTTGGCTTTGTGAGAACCCAGACTGAAGCATGTTCATCTTTCGTTTCTCTGGCACAGAAACTTGCCTTCATGGTGTCTCTAGGATTGGTAACACACGACCATCTAGAAGGTAAGAGAAAATGTTCATAAGGTTGTCTTGCTTCTGGCCCAGAGCTTAGTTCTTGACAATGGTGTTTTATTGGGAGAAAAGAAAACTGAAAACAGATAGAGTATCATGTAGTCCGTGTGGACTTTGTTTCCTTTAGAGTCAAATTGGCTGCTGTTCAGCCCTCCCCTTCCTTTCGCTTTGTATCCACACTACTGTCCTGGGCAGACCACCCCGTTGCCTCGGTTAAGGTGACTTCCGCTCACTTAGGGAACTTTCTCCCCAACAGCATGAAGTAGCAAATGCCCCTCTGACTTTGTACTCTTCAGTACTCTTGGCTACTAGAATCTTAAGAACAGTTGCAAAGCTACATCTGTGTTGGTTATTTAATTAAAGAATGGTGAACTACGGTTGCTCAGTCTCAGTCTGTGGATAAAGGTCATCCACACCTAGGTCACAGTGATCTAAAAATAAACCAGGACAGCCTGTTCACAAGCGTTGTCTGCCACCAAGCACGCAGTCACAGAGAGCCTTCCCGGGGACGGCGTGGTCTTGCTCTCCAAGGGGTGAGAGTAGGCGTCCTGCGTGCATGCTCCCAGCCGTGTGCCTGCCTCAGCTGAGGCTGCAGTGAAACAAAGAGGCTGGCCCCAGCTCTGATTTGTCTGGGAAAAACAATGAAGTCAAGTTGTTGAGGTTCCCCATACCTGTCTTCTAATGTAAACCTTTTGCTTTCCCAAGAAATCCAAAGTAAGAGGCAAGAGCGAAAACGAAGAACAACGGCAAATCCCGTGTACAGCGGAGCGGTCTTTGAGCCAGAGGTACTCCTGGCCCGCGCGGGCCCTTCCCTCACCGTTCACTTCACTTACAACATAGTCAGCACCTCCCGTTGGAAACCTGGTTGTGCTTGTGCAGCTTTGTAAAGTGAAGATTTTTCTCAGGCTGATCCCATTATTTCATTTTTATTATTCATTGCTTTCCCCTTAGTTTTTGCCTGCATTTGAACAGATAGAAACCTTCCTTAAAAATGTAACTCACCCTGGCTTCGACGCAACTGTCAACTGTCAGAGGCAGGCCTCCCTGGAATATATGTAACAAAACACGTTAGCCCTGATACCTGGGGGTGACTGGCACTAACTAGTTGGCAGGTTGACAGGCATGCTGTGCTTGGTCTTTAGCTTTTTGCCAGTATTATTAGTAACCATGCTATTCAACCATCCCATTTCCCTCTTCAATCCTCAAAGCGTAAGAAGAGTGCAGTCACCTACCTGAACAGTACAATGCACCCTGGGACCCGAAAGAGAGGTGAGCACCTGTTTACATCTCTCCCTTGCCTCTTGCCTTTGCTTTCTGTGTTGTGTTTCTCCCCCTTCGGCCTAGAAAATAGTTTTGTTGTTGTTGTTCTCTGAGAAGGGAGGGAAAGAGAGATTTCCTATTAGAGTTGTGTATGCTGAGTCGAAAGCTGCCTTTCCTGGGATTCCAGCAAAGCTGCCTCCGGGGAACGGCTTCAAGCAGAATTTCTGCCCCCCCCCCCCCCCGGCCCACCAGCTGTCCCTGAGCATAGCACAGTGAACAAAACACCATGCAAAAGGAAGCAGCTTAGCGTCATTGAGCAGCACAGAGCCCGCTGTTGCCAAGGTGCTCTGAGTCGTGTCTGAGTCATCCCTCTGCAGGAGAAACCGGAGCCTCACTTAAGTTTCCATGTGCTGCGGGCTTTCCAGGAAAGGGAGAAGTAGCCACACTGGAAACGTAGACTCTGTGAGAAGAAAAGGTCACTGTCAAACAGGCTTTCGAAAGCAGAAATTCTTAAAGAGCTTCCTCCCCGTATTTTAGACCTCCCCAGGGCAGGTGCTGCACCGCCTCGTAGGGCCGAGGCATGACAGCCACAGCAGCCTCACCGTGCGCGTCTAAATAGGGCCTAATAGCTCGGAGTTGGAGCTCATAAACAAGGTTCTGAAATTGTTCTTTGATGTCAGTAATATATCCCAAGGTCCCTTTCTCTACATGATAATGTGTCCCTGAATTATAGTTCCAGGCTAGAAAGGTTGCGGAGTGAGTGGAGTAGCATACTAATTTCTGCGTCGGCACACACAACCTCAGAGCTGCGGGAAGCTTAGGAGGTCGTCCTGACCCTTTGTCTGCCTCAGGGAGGCCGCAGCCACACCACTACCACCTCTGCCCGCAAAGAGCTAGCGTAGCCACCCTGAGTGACCCTTTCTCATGCTGCATCAGTCCCGTCCTTCAAGTGGTCAAAAATATTTAGATGAGAAACCTGAAGCCATTGCTTCATATCAGTTCCTGGGCCACAGTTATCAGTCTCATGGATTATTTTTTGTTGTTAGCAATTTTTAGTGACCTTTTACACAATTCTCAGAAATGAGCCCTCAGCCCAAAGCCACAGTTAATTGGCCTGCTGGTGGGCTGTATCTGCTAAAAAAAAAAAAAAGGGGGGGGGGAGTTAAATGAGCCAGAAAGACCTTGGCATCTCTTGCCAAGGTCAGAGGATGAAAGCCTGCATCGACAAGCCTAGGATATGCTTCCGTGGGTAAACAAAAAGCATTCATCTCCCACTTCTCCCCGCAGCACTGACCCCCCCAGGAAGACCTGTCTTTGGACTGCAGACTCCCCCAGTCTGGCACACATAGTCATGTTTGTGTATGTCTGACAGAGTTAGCATTCCTGTGCGTGGTTTTGAAATAAATTGTAACTGTTGGCAAAGTCACGATTCTGCGTGCCATTACCAGTGCTCGTACACAGCTGTGTACCCCTCTGGCTCTTTTTTCCCCTGTGGTGGTCTAGGCATTCACTTTGTTCACCCACAGCTTAGGAGTGTGGCCCTGACTTAGACACGTCAAGCAGGAGTGGTTGGCCTGGACTTGCCACACCCGCACGGCTCATTTATGATCCGCTGTAGCATGAGGTGTGATGCAGAATGCTCTTGCTCATGTCAGGCCTCTCAGTTAGCAGTGTTGCTGGTGGCGGCCTTCCTGAGACTGGATCAGCCCAGTCCTGAGACACATGGTTCCCCAGAATGTGGTAGAAAGTGGGGAGACAGTTCTCACTCAACTAGGGAGGACACCTGAGTTCTGACCTACTTCAATTCATATTTAAACTCAGGACATGTTTTTAGCTCTTGGGTTCCAGCTACCCCTTGAACATCTTTCTCACTAGCTCTAGCAGCAAAGGGTAAGAGTAGTTAACTTGAACTTAGTCTCCTAGCTTCACTTTGCTCCACCCTTATAGGCAGTGAAATAACCAAAATATAGGCAGGCGAGAACAGAAAAGCAGAAATCCTAAATAAGTCCATTGTGGGAGCTGAGAACCATTAATATAGTAAGAATGATGGTTGCAGAGAGACATTAGAGAACAACGTGCAGAAGATACGGGAGAGTAAAGTAAATGGGTATTTCTGGCCTTGGCTGCCTGTAAGCTCTGGTTCTCGCCTGAGAAGTCAGGTGGTCACAGCCCAGGAGCCTCACTGCTACCTGCCCCAGGAAGGCCCTTTACACGACCCAGCGTCTCTGTCGTTCTGCACGCTCTCTCTTCTCCTCCCTTCTTTTGAAACTCAGGCAGTTTCTGACATTTAAATCTTAGCTTTTCTTCCTCTCTTTGGGACTGTTGTATTAACCTTCTGTCTGCTACCTCACTTCCTTTTCCATGCTAGCCAATGAGGAACACTGGCCAAAGGTATGTAAGATCATTTTCCCCCTCTCTTCCCCCCCCCCTTTTTTTCCCCTTTTGTTCCCTTCTCTTGGCATATAGGTCGTCCTCCAAAATACAATGCAGTGCTGGGGTTTGGAGCCCTTACCCCAACATCCCCCCCATCCAGTCATCCTGACTCCCCTGAAAATGAAAAGACAGAGACCACATTCACTTTCCCTGCACCTGTTCAGCCTGTGTCCCTGCCCAGCCCCACCTCCACAGACGTAAGTAACGTGGGAGAAGCTCACTGTCTCTGAGAGCCTCCCTGGGGAAACCTTGTCCTGTGTTGTCTCCTCCAGCGGCATCACCCTGACTAACCCGGGAAAGCAGGGACCCCGACAGGACACTGTGCCGGAAGGCAGCTCTGCTGGGGCCCAGGTCCTGCTGTGTCCTTGGGACTCGTGCTGACTATGTCAGGAGGCTCAGCAGTTTCCAGAGGCTGCATTTGCTGTGCCGAGAGGGAGTTCTCAGGAAGGCGTGGGTGGGAAGGCAGCTCATGTCCCTGCGCAGTGTGCAGGCTTCCATCGTCCGTGTTCTGGAGGTGGGGAGACGAGCGAGGTGGACGTTCCCTTAGCAGTGTTGCCCACTTGAGGTGGAATTCAAGAAGTGGAAACTTTGCCATAGAGCAAGCTGTATTCAGCAGAGTTGGCTAGAAATAGGTTCCAGAAAGAGTGTCAAATACTCAGTAGTTCTTCACCCAGCAACTGTAGGAGTGTCACCAGTACCCTGCGTTTTTAAATGAGCATTTCCACAGCAATGAATTCACTCAGCAAATACTCACTGAGCACTTCTCTGCTGAGCAAGCACTGTTCTGAGGCTGGGACCGAACAGGAGCAAAACCAGCTCCTGGTCCTCATGGAGCTCATGTTGCCGGTGGGAGGCAGGTGATGAGCAGAGGAACATATGTGCCAGGGAGCGATAATGCTGTGGGAAAGTGGGACAGGCAAGGGGCCTAAGGGGTATAGCAGGAGGTTGCTCTTTTATGAAGATGCTGAGGGGGTGGGGGAAGAGCACTCCGAAAGCCCTGGGGTAGAAATGTACACGCACGAAGAAAAGGGGCCAAGATGCTGGGCAGTGAGCAGATCGAGTGGTGGAGCTGAGGGCCAGAGGCGGCAGGGCCTGCGGCTTTCCTCTAAGTGAAATAGGAGGCCGCTAGAGGGTTTTTGACTTTTTATTTTAAAAGTTTCAAACCTACAGAAAAGTTACAGTGACAATACAATGAACAAATGTATATACCCTTCACCTAGATTGACCAGTTGTTACCATTTTGTTACCATTTTGCCACATATGCTTCTCTCTCCTACACACACATATACATACATACACACACGTGTGTGTGTGTGTGTGTATATATATATATATATATACACATACACACACACACATTCATGCACACAAACTTTTTTTTAAATCCTTAACCAAGGATATGCTTGTTTCGAGAGGGGGAGAGGTGAGAAACTTTGATCAGTTGCCCCCGTACGCATCCTGAGAAGGGATCGATCCCCTGACCTAGGTATGTGCTCTGACCCGGAATCAAACCCACAACCTTTTGGGGTATGTGAGGACATTCTGACCAACTGAGTCACTCTGTCAGCACCATACTTCTTTTTTTCTTCTTCTTCTTTTTCTGAACTAGTTAGGAAATTGCAAGCATCATGAATCTTCACCCCCAAATACTTTGGTTTATATCTCCTAAGAATAAAGATATTCTCTGATATAGCCACAATACAGTTATCAAAGAGAGGAAATTTAATATTGATAAAATGTTATTATACAATATACAGTTCATATTCAGCTTTCTCAATTTGTCTCAATTATTGCCTTAGTGGCACTTACGTTTTTCTGCTTCAGGATCCAATTCAAGATCACTCTTGACATTTATTGTCTCTTTAGGCTCCTTACTCTGGACCAGTTTCTCGTCTTTCTTTGTCTTTCATGGCATTGGTATTTTTAGGAAGATAGGCCAGTTGCTATGTAGGGTGTCCTCCATTTGGATGATCTGATTGTTTCCTCAGGAACAGATTGGAGGTTGCATTTTTGTAGGAACAATAAATAAGTGGCAATGAGTCCTCAGTGCTTCGCAGCAGGAGGCACGTGTTGTCAGTCTGTCCCCTTGTTGGGGATGTTAACGCTCCTCTCTTAAAATAGAGCCCGTCAAATGTCTCCACTTGTACAGGCACCTGTTTCCTCAGTTTTGGGTCTGTAAATATCCAGTTCCCAGCAAACTGCTACCCAGTGGTTTTAGCATCCTTTACTGGTTCTTGCCTGCAGTTACTATTCAAAGGTGTTTGCAAAATTGATTGGGATTTTAAAAGGACCCAGGTGTGTGAAATATGGAGATGAGACTGTGGGAAGATAGGACAGGAGCAGGGAGACCAGTGAGGAGGCTGTTGCAGGAGCCAATGGTAGCTTGGCCTAAGATAATAGGTAGAAATAGAGATGGAGGAGAGTCATTGAGTCTGCATCTTTTTTAATGAAAAGCCAGCAGAATTGGATGATGGGGTAAGGAGAAAAAGAACAGTCAAAGGTGAATCCAAAGATTTTGGCCCAAACAGCTAGGAGACTGGAGGAGAAGCTGGCTTGGCATGTCTCCTCTCTCCTGTGAATGACAGAGCTTGACTTTAGGCTCACCTTCAGGTACATTATCCCTTTAATTACAGGCTCTTAATAGTCTAAAGCCTGCCCCTCTCCAAAGAGCAAAAGAAAACCATCTGCACATCCTGAGTTAAACTTCCATAAACAACAGAGGGGTGTCATCTGTGGAGGACCAGGTCATGGAGGAGTTCTGGGCTCTGATGGGCGTCCTTCGGTGAACATAGCTGGTGGCCTCAGACCCAGCCTTCTGTCAAGACTCAGTCTTTTGTCCAGCTCTCCTTTGGCAGGAGTCATTGATTGAGTTTTCTGCCTCTCCTGTTAACTACACCAGGAGTCCCTGTGGTAACCTTGTTGGGTGACAGCAATAATGGTCTCAACTTTTTTGAAGTTAAAGCATTGCCCAGGGATGGACAGCTCTTGGTGGGGCTGTCCCCCAGGCGTTCTGTGGTTCTGGATGAGTCTCTTTCTTAAACAGTGTTGTTTTTATTTTTAGGCTTTGGGCTGAGGGGGTTTATAAAATGATTTTCTTGAAAGGACCCACTCAGCTCTAATCACAAACTAAAAGCTTCTGCCAGGTTTTATGTCAAAATATAAACACTGTTCTTCTTAGAAATCTAAAGTAAAAGGAAGCTTTTATAAAACCACTAAATAATGTTGATAACTTCCTAGGTTAAACTTAGTAGAATGGGTTTTTCTAAAAAGATAATTGACTTCTACTTTTACAGTATCTCAACAGTGGCAGTTATTAAAATCAACACACAAGGCTCTGGATATTAGCTTCTGGGTGGCATAAACCCCAATAACATTAATTAAATAGTAAGAGCTGAGAGGCAGGCATTTCCTGGAGATCAATACCATCTAGAAGGACTTGGTACAAGACACGGCTGGGTGCTGATCCTCAGTATGTTGCCACTGTCATCACTTTTATGAGAAGGGAAGATGAGTTGACATAATTATACAATTTCTTTAACAAATGATGAAGTTGCCATTGATAAAACCAGGAAAAAAAAAAAAAAAAACTAGGCCTCAGCCCTTAGCAAAGAATTATGGGTCAGACATCTTTCACCTTCCCATTTCATTTATGGTAATTAATTCAGCCTTCGCCAGAGCCTAAGCTTTCTGACCTTGTGCAGCACCTTCGTGGGCCTGCCTTTCTGCTTAAGCAGAGAACCAATTCTGTGTGGGTGAAACACATGACTCACATTTCATATTCATTTCTCTGGGTAGTGGTTCTCAGTATGGCCTGGGGGTCCCTGAGACTCTTTCGGGGGGGTCCATAAAATCAAAACTATTTTCATGATCATATTCAAACACTATTCCAGTTTCATTCTCATTCTCTCAAGCATGAACAGTGGAGTTTCCCAGGTATTACATGACATGATGATGTCATCACTCTGATGGCTAATGGGCAGTGCCTGTGTGTTCTGGGGTTTAAAATTTTCCAATACATATTTTTGTAACTTCCCGGATTCTATATTTATTTCAAAACTAAAATGTTTTAAAACTTTATAAGTAAATATCAGTGTATCTAACTCCCATAAACAAAAGCTCTTTGAGGTCTTTAGTAATTTTAATAGTGTAACAGGGCCCTGACCGGTGTATCTCAGTGATTAAAGTGTCAGCACATACACTCAAGGGTTGTGGGTTCAATTCTCAGTCAGAGGCACGTACCTGAGTTGCAGGTTGGATTCCTGGCCCTCAGTTGGGGCGCGTACAGGAGGCAACCAATCAATGTGTCTCTATCACATCAATGTTTCTCTCTCTCTTTCTCTCTCTTCCTTCTCCCCCACCCCCTTCCCTTCCACTTTCTCTAAAAATCAATGGAAAAAGTATCCTTGGGTGAGAAGTTAACAACAACAACAAAAAAAAGAGTGTAATGGGATCCTGACACCAAAAGATTAGGAGCTTCTTTATGGGCTATATAAAGAGGATACATTTTTTTTTCTCTTTTAGTAACTGAAATAAATTATTTAAGTTTTATTTTATATGTGCTCTCCACCTTCCACTTCTTGATGTTCTCCTTATTCAGGAGAAGAGGAAAGTGAGCAGAATTCTTTACCCAACAAATACCTCTGAATAAAATGTGCAATTTTTCTCATATACTTCATCGCTGCTAATTCTATCTGTGGTTCATGTAAAGACTCTCTGAAGCTCTAAAATTTGTATAAACTTCATAAAGATGCAGACTTATAACATGGGGCTGAGTTTTAAGAAAAACTAACACTCTAGAGAAGAGCACTCTCAGCCCGATTCTAAGAATTAAAAGAAAGTCACAGTAACCGAGGGGTGAAACCTGCCTCTTCCAGTGCCTGGAAGCTGAAGTGTCGGGCATTCTCATGTAGTATTTTTGCACATTTCTGGATTTCTTTTCTACGGCTCAGAGGTGACATTTTCTTACTCAGAAAGGTTAAAACCCACCCACACTGATTATCATATAACTTTCCAGCATCTTTCAGCTGCCGGGGAGCCTGGTGAATGGCAGAGAAAGCTCCTTTCCTAGGGAAATGCAGGCCTGGGAAAAAAAGGCTCTTCCGGGTGGTGGGGGTTTATCATGGGAGGAAGACCTGCTCCTGTGTCACTGCTTCCTGTGCACAAGTTCTGAGTTAAGCCTTTTGGCAAAACAGTCTAGAACCTAAAACAACACGTTGGCAGGAAAGGTCCGGCCCAGGCCGGGCACTGCCTTTGTTGGCTCCCTCCGACGTCCCTCACCCTTCCCTGGGTCCGCTCAGCGGCATAGTCCTATTTAGAGAATGGGTCAGGGATTCACTTGCTGAAAAATACCTCTTGAATGTTTTTTTTCCCCCCTGTTCTCCTCTTCACGTTTTAAGGAAGTCTGCTTTTTTTTTTTTTTTTTTTTTTTTTTTTTTTTTTTTTTTTTATGGTGCCTTCTGTTCACAGAACTCACTGATGGTGGGAGAGGGCACAGAGGGCCCTTCTCGCCTCACCTGGCGAAGTGTTTTACAGGGAGGAATACAGCCTCCAGAATAGAAGGGTCCATTGAACAGCAAATGCCAAATGCTGGAGAACATTGTCAGCTATTGCTTTGGCTTTTAAAGTCTTCATATTAGACAGCTCGGTTTAACCAGTTTAATTGGTTCCTGACTTAGTCTTTTCCCATTTGAACTTTCACTATTATCTTTTCTCCCTGAGGAGGCAAAGTGTTTAGTAAAGTTCCATTCTTACCTGTTGTCTTTCCCAACCCTTCTAAAGTTTCCCCAAAAACGATAGTTAATGAGAATTGTTTGTATCTTTGGTTTCAGAACATTTTGATGGATGGGTTTCAATGTCATCAAGCTTTCTGATTTGTGGGTTAGACTCTACCAAAATATAACAAATGCTGAGCTATCACCCCTAAAGTTAATGTTGGCCTAGACGACTACAGAACTTTCCTGTGAAGTCTGCTTTAAAACTGAGAATACTGCCCCTGCCCAGGGAACCTCAGCTATATGGGGCAGGTGGGGCTTGTGTCATCACTACTTTTCTTGCATACTCTTGAAACATGTTCAGTGGAGCACAGCTGATTGTCCTAACACATGTATATGTATCCAGAATGTGTATGTTAACATTCACATTTTACCTTTTTGTCCTTTCTCTTACCTCTCTTCTCAATTTCTTAGGGTGATATCCATGAGGATTTTTGCAGCGTTTGCAGAAAAAGTGGTCAGTTGCTGATGTGTGACACGTGTTCCCGTGTGTATCATCTGGACTGCTTAGACCCTCCTCTGAAAACAATTCCCAAGGGCATGTGGATCTGTCCCAGATGTCAGGACCAGGTAGGGGGAATGGGGCAGACATAGGGCGGGGCCAAGGAGGAGCAAAACAACATGGTCGGATCTTTCTTTCCCCTCTGATCTGGGGGAATGGCAGTCTCAGGCCACGTGAGCCCTGTTCACAGAACGGCTCTCTCCCACCAGCATCCCTCCCCTCAGAGACGTTCTGTCGTATTCATGAGGCGGTGACTCAGTGTGCTGGTAGAGAGACCCTGATTGCTTCCCTTTATCTGAAATGACTTATTACCTTGACCCTAAAAGTCCATAAGACTTTTTGCCTCATTCTCTAAGATGGGTACAAACCTAGTATATCTTTTGAAACTCTATATTGAAAATAAAATTCTTTTTTGTTTGCTTGTTTTTGTTAATCCTCACCTGAGGATATTTTTTCCATTGCTTTTCAGAGAGAGTGGAAGGGGAGGGGAGGGGGAGAGAGAGAAACATTGATGTGAGAGAGACACATTGACTGGTTGCCTCCTACACATGCCCCAACCAGGGGTAAGAAGCAAACCGCAACCCAGGTACAGGGAATCAAACCTACAACCTATCAGTGCCTAGGCCAGCACTCTAACTACTGAGACACTTGCCAGTACTTTCTTAAATGAAAGTATTCAGTCAGTTGTTTCATTCAAATAATAGCAGTTTCACTTTTAACCTGTGTTGTCATCAGGATCAGAGAACTAACTATAGTGGTATCAATATTTCATGGGCTTGAAAGGCAAGCACAAAATCTTGCACTACTTAACGACAGGGATACAGCCTGGAAAATGTGTCATTGGGTGATTTTGTCCTTGCGAGAGCATCACAGAGCACACTTACACACACCTCGATGGTAACCTGCTGCACACCTAGGTCTAGCCTAATGCTCCTGGGCTGTAAGACTCTGTGTCCCATTACTGTACAAACAACGTGAGATTAAGTCAAGCACAGGAGAAAATGATGCAATCAAGAGACACAGTTAACATGAGACATATGAGGCTGTAGCCAGCATAGCACAGAATATCGCTGTACAACAAACTTCTTGTTTTTAATAAATAGCACTGTATACTCTAAAGTAAAAAGTATAGCATAGCAAATACATATCAGTAGCATAGTTGTCTGTTATTATCAAGTACTATGTACTGTGCATACTGTATGTGTGATACTTTGTGTGACTGGCAGTGCAATAGGTTTGCTACACCAGCAGCACCACGAACACATGTATTCTATGATGTTACTAGGCCATAGGAATTTTTTGGCTCCATTATAATCTTATGGGCCCACGTAGTATATGTGGTCGATCATTGATCAAAGCATCGTACAGCACATGACTGTATGATTAGCTTTTCCCTCCTTCTCTGCTTAGTTTCTGATTTCTTTTTCTCGCCTATCCATGTATCTTAATGTTTTTATTGTAAGCTGTCTCATGTCGCTTTTTTAGAAGCAGGCAAAGTATAAATAACAAACAAATAAGGTCAGTACTCAGCAGACAATGGGATCCTGCTCAGGTCTTTGGAATTCTGATCTGAGAGAATTCTGGTTTTCCCCTTTTAATCTTGGTCCTCTTGCTACTGTCGCCTGACGTAGTTATAGGGACAGTTCTCTCCTTGTTCTCTTTCAGTTGTTGCTTTGTGACCCTCTGATCATTTGCCACATGGGGTCTAGATTGCATGTGGTATCAGAACTGAGACTTCATTTCCTTGGCCAGGCTGCCTCTCGGGGGCATGGAGCTAAAACTGAGATAGGCAGCCCGTGTCAGGTCAGGGACCAAGCCGCCCGTGGCTGAAGTCAGTGCCAGCCTGCCACTTAGGCTGGTGGTTCTGCCTGTGGGAGTCGTCAGGAGCCTGTGACAGAGATGAAATGATAGGAGGGTCCAGCTTCTCTCTCATTCAGGGCTCAGTGGCTTGGAGTCCCTGCTTTGTACCTCATTCTCTCGGGCTGATATCTGGAACTTTACAGTCCAGAAAATGTAGAGCAGCATTTCGCAACACTGCCCTCATAATCCCTCCTGGATTTTTATCTGCCCATAGCTACAGGCACCCTTGCTAGTCATTACACAGGGGATGTGTATTTATACCTCCTTCTCAAGGTAAAATTCTAAAAATCTTTTCAGATGCTAAAGAAAGAAGAAGCAATTCCATGGCCTGGAACTTTAGCAATTGTTCATTCCTATATCGCCTACAAAGCAGGTAAAGAGTTACCATACGCTCTCTTGTGTAATCTTCCCTTGTTTAAAAAAAAAAAAAAAAAAAAGTACTGGAAGGAAGGATTTGCTTTGTTTTAAAAAGGAAATTTAACGTTAAAAATGAAAAGCTGCTAGTGAATGAAGTGGAAGATTGTGTAGCACTTTCTTGGGAGGAAGAAGGAGAGGTAGATCTTGTTCCTGTGAAGCCAGGCTGAAGCCCCTGGCAGTCCTCTTAGCATGCCTGTGCACGGAAAAGGGAAAGGGAAGCCCTGTGCACCGACTGGGGCTCGGGGAACTTTGGGGAGAAGATCTTCTTTGGCAAACATTCTGAACACTGGCCTTTTCAAAGAATTTATTGTTAAAAACAGTTATTTTTTTCCAGCTAAAGAAGAAGAGAAACAGAAGTTACTTAAATGGAGTTCAGATTTAAAACAGGAACGAGAACAGCTAGAGCAGAAGGTGAAACAGCTCAGCAGTTCTATAAGTGTAAGTGAGCCTCCTGCCTTCGGCGATACAGCTTCCCGTGCACATAACAGCTCGTGTGGCCCCCAAGGGTCGGTTCCCATCCTTTAACTTATAGCACAGCGACTTGGCAGATGGAAAGTTTGCCTCCTGTTAGAGTTGCCCTCAGGTACAGGGGGCCGTTGGTATATGGTGCCTTAGCCAAGCTCTGGAACATCCTCTTGGTTTTGGTCTGAGAGCAAGCATTTCCAGTCTCCTGGCGCCAAGGTGGATTAGAGGCTGCAGCCATGTAGCCATCACCCCCGGGCATCCTGAGCGTGTTCGGGAGGAGTGTGGAGCCTGACCAGCCCCACATAGAAGTCTTTCCGGTCGCCCGAGCTAGTGAGTCCATCCACACGGCCCGGCCCTTCCACTCTTTGTTCCCCACCATGCTGTTTGCGTTTCTAGGTTTTCCTGACCAGCCTGAGGAAGAGGGGTTTCTAGAGACAAGTTTGGAAGTAAATACTGCCCAGCCTGCCATGTCCAGGTGGAAAAGAGAGTTGTAACAGAGATTCAGAGGCTCCTCCCAATGGGCAGGTTCCCCACTGAGTAGGTGCTGTCACAGTGAGGTGGCCTCAGCCTCAGTCACTGGGTGGTGTCCTGGACTTGGTGACGGTTAAGCTGACCCACTCACCTGCTTTCCTCCCTCCCCACCATCCTACCCGTGGCATGCAGATCTCACATCTCTCCCGCCTAGAGCAGGAGCTACCAGGTGTGAGAGGCTGAGGGCAAAGGATTGCAGGTGACAGCAGGAGGGGTTCTGTTGGCTGAAGTCTGATTCTCCTGCATCGCTGTCCCGCCCCAGGCTCTGCGTCTAAGTTCTTGCTGACCGAGTGGTCCTTGGGAGGCCCTCCGGTCGCACAGACACCCCTGGCTGTTTTCTACCCTGGAAAGCTCAATCCGGTCCTGACCACGTTAGCACTGGCAGGCATGGAAACACACCTGCCCAAACCAGCCTCAGCGCCTGCGGGAACTTAGTTTTTAATTCTTACCTGGGGGTATGTTTTTACTGATTTTATAGAAGAAGGGAGAGGGAGTGAGAAGCATTGATGTGAGAGAGAAATACCAACCTCCTATATGCTCCCCGAACCCACCACCTGGGTATGTGCCCTGACCGGGAACCAATCCTGCGACCCCCCAGGGCATCGGATGATGCTCTAACAAACTGAGCCACACTGGCCAGGCTGAATTGTGCTTTTAAAATGACTTATTTTATAGCATTGGAGCGGTAATTCACCTTTGGTGTGAAGTCCCGGTGTCAAGTAGAGTTGGCTTTAAACCACTCGTTTGCCCTCTGTCTCTTGCCTCTGGGGCCTCCTCCTTCCTTGGGTGGTGGCTCCCACTCCTGTGGAGCAGAACAGGCCCAGGGCTGCACACCAGCCAGCGAGGACCCTTCTGCCGCAGAGGCTGGCCGCCCTGGCAGCAAGGCCGCAGGCTCAGTGCCACCGCCCTTCTCGTTTGCTGCAGAAATGCATGGAAATGAAGAACACCATCCTGGCCCGGCAGAAGGAGATGCACAGCTCCCTGGAGAAGGTGAAGCAGCTGATCCGCCTCATCCACGGCATTGACCTCTCCAAACCCGTAGACTCTGAGGCCACTGTGGGGGCCGTCTCCAACGGCCCGGACTGCACCCCCCCTGCCAACGCCGCCACCTCCACGCCAGCCCCCTCCCCCTCCTCGCAGAGCTGCACAGTGAACTGTAGCCCAGGGGAAGAGACTAAATAACAGCGCCCTGCCAGAAGCCACGGGATCCCGGCGGCCAGGAGAGCCGAACACTGAAGACTCTAGGAAAGCAAAGCCGGATTTCTTCTGGAAAGTACAGAATTCTTTTGGTTCTTTGGTTCCAGAGAGAGAGAAGATGCTTGTGCCAGGTGGCACCAGAGTTTGCCAATTGATCCTTCTTATTCTGTGTGTACATGCAAAGATTGGACCATGTTACATGAAATAGTGCCAGCTGGAGGTTCTTTGCCAGCACCATGCCAAGTGAAATAATATATTTACTCTCTCTATTATACACCAGTGTGTGCCTGCAGCAGCCTCCACAGCCACGATGGGTTTGTTTTTGTTTTGTTGGGTGGGGAGCAGGGACGGGCGGAGGGAGGAGAGCAGGTTTCAGATCCTTATTTGCCGAGCCGTTTGTTTAGGTAGAGAAGACAAGTCCAAAGAGTGTGTGGGCTTTCCCTGTTTCTAAACTTTCACTACTATAAAACCAAAAAAAGGAAATTGAGATTTAACCAACCCCAGTGCCCAGAGGAGGGATGGGGAGGGGATGGGAGGGAGCCGGGGTGGGAAAAGTATATCAAATAAGCAGTATTTCTTATTGTGTGTGGTGGGCCGCCGCATGGGGAGAGCTGGGCACAAGGACAGCCATCGGGTTCTTCTCTGAGCGCTCGCTTCCCCGCCGCCGTGGGCGCCCCACCACTCCCCAGGTTCCTTCTCTGCTCTGGCAAACGTGGACGTGGACGGTGGGTCCCTTCCCTCTCCCAGAACAAGCAGAGCCAGGCTCAGCCAGCCCTTGCCCAGGGCGGGGAAGAAGGGTGTGCGTGTGTCAAGGAAGGAAAAAAGGTGGATCAGTGATTTTACTTGAAAACAAGCTCCATCCCCTTTCTATATTTATAAAAGAAGATCCTGAGCGTAGCAGCACACGACCAGGTGTGTGTGAGTTGAATGGAGACGTCTCTCTTTTTTCTTTTTTTAATTTTTGTTTTTGTTCTTTATTTTCTTTATTAAAAAAAAGTTTTATTTTATTGTTTATTTTACTTTTTTTGGTAACAAAGACTAAACTAAGGAATAGAAAAGCTGTTTTTCAGGCTGACAGTCAGCTAAGGGTAGTCGAGACCTTGCATGGTAGAATAGGAGCCATAGTGTCAGTGAGGTCCAGTGAGTCTGTGTGAGTCCTTGTGTCATCGTCGGGCACTGTTTTTTTATGCAAGGGCAAAATCTTTGTATCTGGGGAAAACAACAACTTTTTTTTAAATTAAAAAAAAAAGAAAAATAAAAGATATTGAGGTCTTCCTAGTGTTACTTAAATTAAGATCAAGGTAAGAAACATTGTAAAAAAAAAAAAATTACAAAAGTGCTATTTGTTTCCTAAAAACAGTGATTTCTATTAAAAAAGGTGTCAGAACTGGAGAAAATGCTGTGTAGTTATAATTTTTTAGCACAGAACCTGCTGATCATGATGCCATTTTGCTGTGTTTGTGTCTCAAGACCGGTGGGCTAGTCTCCGTGGTTCTGACCGGGGATGGCCTCGGGCCTGCCGGGGAGGGACGGAGCGCTCCCACCATCCCCTCCTCAGAGAAGACTGCCCTCCCTTCTTGGTGCAGGGATCTGGGCTTCTGCTTTTGAAACCCAAATGGAGTGTGGATGGTTATCGAGGGCCTGCCCACTATCCCCACGGATTTTGCTAGAGCAAAAGGCTGGTGCCTAAATAAGATCCCTTCCTTTGGTGCTGCTCTTGGTCTTTCAGCCACCAGCATTCCGAGTGCCTGGGGGACAGCTTGGAAGGAAATGGCCAGGGAAGCTCATTGGTGCCTGTGCACCCCAGCCTCTGGGATGGGGGCCGGGGGCAGGCTGGCTGCATCAGCCCTTGGTGCTCAGAAAGAACAAAGGAATGCGGTTTCTCAAGGTTACATGGTGTGTCCGAGACAGACAGCCCCAGGGTGGCCTTTGTATCTGTCTTGCCTTTGAAGAGAGGTCTAAATTTCCAGCCCCTTTCTCTGCCTGCTGGCTCCAGGCACCAGAGATGGACTTCACTCCACTCTGCCCACCCACCCGCTTCCTGGGTAACCTTTGGCCAAGATCTCTGTGCTTGCCTTGGCTGGCTCGTCTCCTTAAAAACCAGGGTTTGGAAAGGCTCGGACCATCTCTGTCATCTTGCCTGCGGAAGATAAATTTTGTCAGGTGTGTGCTCTGGCCGGAGTTCTTGGCCCAGCAGGAGAGAGGCAGAGGCCGTGCACCCCAAGCCCTCCCAGGGCCCCTCCCCCAAGCCTCCCTGTGCCTCCTACTGGCCAGAGTCTAGGAGGGAAAGGACAGGTTCCATTAACTTCTCCCTCATCCAGTTAGACCCAGAGAGACACTACTTGGGTGAAACGTCTCACCTCCACCAGCGGTTTTCATCCATCTTCCCAGGGAGGCCCCAGGAGGGGACTCTGGGCTGTGCAGGCCTCAGAGGCAGGACTGAGAGGTTGCCTGAGGTGGGCAGAGAGGAGCTCCCGTTCCTCACGCAGAAACCAAGGTGCTATGTCTCGTCAGGGAGCGGAGGAAGTGCCTGGGCTAGTCGGAGGAATAGCTGGCGGAGGTTCAGAGCTCAGCGCCAGGCTCAGCCCTGTCTCGGGGCCCTCCTGTTCGACTTGTCTGGGCCCAGAAGCTGGGAAACCATCATCACGGAGGCCTATCTCAGGAAGGAGCTGCCGGAGGATTGGGTGGGGGCAGGACTGGAATTGGCGGGTGCTTTGCCTGTGAGCAGTCCCGCTCTGACTGTGCCTCGGGTGGGAGGTCGGAATGTCGATTCTTCCTGAAGTTCAGCTGTGAGCCATTTGGCGTCAGCCAGTATAGGGTACAAAAATGCAACCCTGCCCAAGCCCACATTCTGGACTCAAACTCTAAGACACCCCTTGCCACAAAGAAAATGCCCTTGCCACCCAATCTCTTCTTCCTCTCTGTCCCACAGGTCTGTGGGAGCCTGTGACTGCCTGAGACACCCTTCTCCCTCCTTCCCTTCGTTCCCCACACCCGAGGTTAGCCGCTGTCAGGTACATCTGAGACCAGCTGGCTTTGTAGTCACTTCAGAGGCCCGGCACCCGCTGGCCTGGGACCAGGTAGCCGCCCACCTGGCGCTTGGTCATGGGGCCCATTGTCAGGCCTGTGTCCCGGAGGCAGTGAAGTCATGTTGCTGTCATCTTCCCGCTCAGCTCACTTTCTTGCCAATGTGGCCTGCAGGTCCTTTTTCTTTCAAGGAGCCTGCCCGGTCTTGTCTCCTCTCCCTGAGCTCATCCAGAGCTCTGCTTTCCTTCCTTCCTTATCAGGCCCGTGGGGGCAAACCTGCTGGTTGTGCCTGGCAGGGAGGCCCTCGTGGGGCCTGCAGACGGCCATGGCAGCCTCCATCTGGCAGCATCTGAGTGCCCGGTGTCCCTCCTGGAACGGCCTCCCCGTGTCCCTGCTGCTGCTTGGCTCAGCAGGTGGCATGAACGGGTGCACTCGCTTCCTCCACACCTCTCCCACAAGGAGAACCGTTTCTGCTCGCCTGTCTGAGTGTACTTGCCTCTCTGCCACCTCCTCCCTGTCCTTTCTCTGGGGCCAGCGGAGCCTCCTTGGGCTCTTCACACCCACCACGCTCTAAGTGGTTCCTCCCTTCACTGCCTCTCAGGGTGTGGTCTTCTTATTTTTCCAAGGGCTTCACAGGAGACTCGCTCCAAGGTCCAAAGGCTCTTGGGGTGGTGAGATGGATGGTGGCCCAGGAACGTTTTCCAGGCCCTGGGTTCTCGATTCCATGGCCTCCGTTAGATGGAGGCAGCTGTGCTCTGTGGACATGACTGGGCCTCTCCCCACCCCTCAGCTGGGCACCGTTGGCAGGAAACAGGAGGCCCATTCTCACCCTGAGACTCTGCCATCCTCAGTGTCAGCGCCTGGCCAAGTAGGGAGGGGGGAAGGGGCCGGAGACAATTGACCCTCCCACAGAAATGAGGGGGAGGAAGCTGGGAGTCACACCCTGCCTAGAACTGGGGTGGAACTCTTCAAAGTAGCCCTTTCCAGGGGGGAGCCGGCCAGGGGAGAGCAGGGCTCACCAATCGCACCGGCTCCCCCTGTCCACAAGGCTCTCCTGAACCCCGAGGACACCCCGTCCCGCACCGCAGCCTCTGACCCCTGCCCTCTCAGTGTTGTTGGGCCTCAGCCCAGGGTAAGCTGCAGCCAGGCAGGACAGGACAGGCAGCCAGAGGTCAGCACACTCTGAGCAGAAGAGCCAGCCAGCCCCCACCTGTCTTCGTCCACGCCCTCTGTGATCTCAGTCTTGGTAGAACTTGTATTTGGAGTTTTGTGCTTCAAAGTTTTTGTTTGTTTGATTTTTTGTTTTTGTTTTTGTTTTGAGGGGGGTGGGAGGGGATACAGAGCAGCTGATCAATTTGTATTTATTTATTTTAACATTTTACTAAATAAAGCCAAATAAAGTCTCTCAGCCTCATGGTGTTGGGTTTGGGGCCAGGGAGGGAGGGCAAGACACACTCCAGTCACAGCCTCTGGTGGAGGCCGGGGCCCAGCGAGACTGAGTCACTCCCTGGGGCCCATGGATGCCTCATGCCCCAAACCAAGAAGAACATAACACAGAGCTTTTAAACATTCATTATGAAACAGAGGTGCACAGTTGAGGATGAGGGAACCAGCCCCAAACCAGCTGGGGCAGAGGGAGAGCAGACCCCAGTGACAGAACAGCCAAGGGGGGCCCCAGGCCCCACCCTAGATGCTCCACTGCAGCCCTTCCCACCGAGACCTTAAATAATTTAAATAACGGAGTGAGTGAGAGCCAAGGCCAAGGGCAGCGGAGAGCCACGCAGGCCCAGCCTTGGGAGGTCAGGGCTGCCGCAGGGCAGTGAGGTATTTGAGGGCGGCAGCCCCGTAGTGGCGGGACAGGTCCTGGAGGAACTCGTCCTTAAGGGCCTGCAGGCAGCCTCGATAGGTGCTGCTGGAGCGGAAGCGGGAGATGTCCAGACTCGGGGTGTGTGGCAGGTGGATGGTGAAGGCCTCTGGCAGCACCAGGAACTCATATTCCTGCAAGGGTAGGGCAGAGCAGTGGTCAGTGCCTGGGCTGGGGGGTGGGGAGCAGGCTTACCCAATGAGTAAGATGATCAAACATCCCAATTTTTAACAATTTGTCCCGTGGCGTTTTAAAAAAAAGTCCCAATTTTTTTTTTAAAGAATCTTTTAAATCTTTTGGACTTTTCTAAAACACCTTGGGACGCGGGACAAATAGTTAAAAATCAGGACTGTCCCGCCAAAAGCAGGACATATGATACCCAAGAGCCTCTAAGAGCCAAAGCCAGGCCAAAGGGATAACAGTAGCTCTACAGAAGGGTGGGACTTCCTGTAGCGCTGCCCCACCCGCTGAGACAAAGTGAACTCCCCCGGCCTGGAGGTACTTAAACCGAAGCTGGAGACATGAAGGATCCCCCTCACCTGTGCATCCAGCTCCATGATGTGGGCCACCTTGTTCCAACCGAAGCCCACAAAGCGGGGGTCATAGCGGGGACAGTCACGGGGTACCACCACGTAGGGCTCGTAGTCCACGGCCCACTGCACACGGTACGGGGCCTGAGCCTCCCGCCAGCGGGCATAGTCTGTGGGCGTGTGACCCCGGGGCCACTCGTGGTGCCTGCGGAGCCGGACAGGGCGAGGAGCCAGGCTGAGGCTCGGAGCTTGTGGGTGGCGGGGGCTGGTACGGGGAATGGGGGACAGAGCAGGGTCCTCTCCTACCTGAAGGTGTGGACAGAGCCGGCGTCTAGCAAGGCCAGCAGGTCAGCCTTGGAAGAGGGGAAGCTGAACTGGTAGTGCAGGGTCTCAAATGCTGGCACCACCAGGGCTGCCTTCCGCCCGCTGCCCAGCTCCAGCTGCTCAATGGAGGCCCTGAGGAGGCAGCACCGTGAGGGAGGGACGGCCCTGCCTCCAGCCCTGGGGCTAGTGACTCTCTTACGTCCATTAGCCAGGGGCCCCCCTCTTAAAGGCCGGCTCACTCTGCCGCCCACTAGCAGGCAGACACTGTGGGACAGCTGTGGGAAGCAGTCCATCCACCCCCACCCCGCCTCCCCTGTGGCAGCCCAGGGAGAAAGTGTGACCCCGGCCCTAAATAAGGTGACCAGATCGTCCCGCTTTTGGCGGGACAGCCCCGATTTTCAACAATTTTCCCCACGTCCCACGGCGTTATAAAAAAGTCCCGATTTTTGGAAAGAATCTTTCTAAAAATCTTTCTAAAAATCGGGACTTTTTTATAACGCCGTGGGACGCGGGGGAAATTGTTGAAAATCGGGACTGTCCCGCCAAAAGCGGGGCGGTTTGGTCACTTTACCCTAATACAAACCCTATTCTACAGAGAACACTAAGGCCCAGAAGGGAGCAGGGACCCGCTCGCCTAGGGTTCTGATCCCAACCGCATACCACTGTCACCCCCACCCACCTGAGGTAGTCGTAGAGGGAGTAGGCGGGCAGGAAGTCAATGTCGCTGAGGAACACGTAAGGCGTGAGGGCCTGGGCCAGGGCCACGTTGCGAATCTGGTTGATGGGGTAGAGGGGACCCTCCCGGTACACCACGTGGTAGGCCACATCCTGCCGGGCAGAGAGCACCTCCGAGGCCTCGACGAAACGCAGGAACTGCTGGGCTTCTGCGTCTGTCAGATACAAGGCCAGGCTCATGGGGCCCGGCCAGTGCCTGCACAGGGCCTCCAGCATCTGCAGCCTGGGGTGAGGGGGGCGGTCAGCCAGGGAGGGCTGGAGTACCTCCCAGGTTAACTGCTACGGACACCCCCTCAAATCACTGAGCTCATTTTCTCATCTGTCCGATGGGAATGACCCGCCTGGTGGGGTAATTGTGAAGATGAAATAAGACCGGCTTCACAATTACCCGACCAGGCGGGTCATTCCCATCGGACAGATATGAAGACCTGCCCCTGGTCTCACAGCCACGGAGGAGCACCACCAGCCAGCTGAGTGATCCCAAAGCCCATCCATGCTCCTCCCACCACATCCGGTGTTTCCAACTTCGGGAACTCCCGAGGTAGCAGACACGAGACCTCTTCCTTCCACATCACACCTGCCTCTCCAAGGCCCAGGCCCAGCCCACGCCTGCTCCCGGGGGCTGCCTGCCGCATCCTCACCGGTCCATGGAGAGCTGGGCCACCAGGGTGACGTCGTGGGGCCGGGGAGGCGGCGGCTCGTGGGGCAGGAAGGTGATGTGCACGCGGTGCACCGTGAGCTGCTGCTGCCGGAACTCGAAGCAGGCGTCTTCCTCGTCGAGCTGGGCCAGGGCCTGCTGCAGCTGAGGGGGTCGAGGGCAGGAGGACCGGGCTGGGGCAGGAGGACAAGTCCGCAGACCAAGCTGGGTCCCACCAGGGCGGAGAGGGGCGGGATCCCCCCCCAAAGCCAGGGAAGGCAGGTCCCTCTCACCCGCTCGGCCTCCGGGGGGCGCGGGCTGGGGCACCCAAAGAGCTCCCTCCGCAGCAGGTTCCCGTCATGCTCCAGGAAGGTCAGGTAGAGGTTGCGGAAGAACTCCACGTGCTTGTTCTTCACTCGCAGCTTCTTCGGGGAGTTCCAGTGGACCGCCTGGGACCCGGGAAGGTATCGGTGTGTGTGTGTGGGGGGGAGGGGGGGTGGAGGCAGGAGTCCCCACCCTTGGCCCACTGCCCCCCCCCCCTCAGCTCCCCACCCCCACTCACCTTGATATCAGCAGCCTCTAGGTAGCAGCGCTCGGCCAGCGTGTGGTCGGACAGCTGCACGTTCCAGACGCAGGGCAGGGGCCGCACCAGCGCTGGGTGCCCCTTGATTACAGCGTTGAAGATGTCCTGGGCAGAGACAGCCATCTATCTCACCTTGGCCCTGAGCCTGCCCCCTGCCCCCCACCCCCACCCAAGCCTGGGCTCCCCCGCCCCAGACCTGGTCAGCCAGCGAGGTGGCGGGCAGGGTGAGGAGCTCCTGGGTGGCTGTCAGCTTCCACATCTGCTCCCAGCCGGCCTGCCGAAGCCGGTCCAGCCACAGGAGGATGACACCTGCCACAAGGAGGAGAAGTCACCCCCACCTGGGACAACCCAGCTCTGGGGCCAGGAGCATAAGGGATTCTTGGGAATGTTTGTTTTTTGACTTGGTACTTTCTGTCAGACAGGGGCAAGGACAACCTCTATAAACACTCAACCCTCTTGAGGGCGAAGGGGAGTCACTGCTCAGCTTCCAGAGCGTGTCCACAACCGTCTTCTCACATTCGGTGAACCGGGGGCCGGTAAAAGCCCCATTGAATGGATGAGAAAACTGAGGCGCAGAGAGACTAAGGGAGTTGGCCAAAGTCATCCAGCAGGCACAGCCAAGGTTGGCAATGTCTTCTGGCCCTTCTCCCCATGTCCTTTCTCCTGCACTGTTCTTCCTGGGGGCTTCCTGGCATTCTGTGCCCCCTGCCCAGTCCCTGGAGTCCACAAGCCAGTGGCCACCCCCACCACCACCACCACCATCCCCACCTGTGTTAAATCCCCTGCCCAAGGCAGGCCACGGCTTGTGGTTCCTCCAGAGGTTGCCCAGGTACCAGTCGCTCTGATTCTCCACGAGACCGATCACCTGCTCGTCTGGGAGGGGAGGGCATTAGGGAGCTGCTTGAGGCTACCACAGGCCCTTGGCTCAGGGCTAGGCCACAGGGGGGGGGGGGGGGGGCTAGGACGGGCCAGGGAGGGGGCTTGGCTGGGGCGGGTCCCAGGCCTCTCACCAGAAAAGTGAGCAAAGAGTGCCCAGAGCTCTGCAATGTCGGCGGCGAAGGTGACATCTGTGTCCAGGACAATAACCCGGGCCAGGTCAGGAGGCAGGGCACCGGGCAGCACCAGCTTCATTAGCCCGTAGAGGCCAGAGTAGTGCTTGTTGGGGATCCAGGAGACCTGGGGCTGTGGGTGGGAAGGGCAGGGCATGAGCCTGGCAGAGAAGAGCCCAGCAGCATCAGAACATACGAAGTGTGGCACAAGGGAAAGAAGGGGTGAGCACCAGAAGGGGTGAGGGGTTTGAGCTTCAGGGGGTATGAGGGAACGGTTCCAGGCAGCTCTAACCTCCCCTCTCCTCCCTCCACCCCATCCCCTACCCCCACCCCACGCCCTGGGAGGAAGGGGTGGGGAGAAGGTAGGCTGGGGAGGATTAGAAGGGCCAGGGCTCCTGCCTTGAGCTCATCTGCGTCATAGAAGCTGACACGGACAGCGGGCACCATCCATGTGTGAAAGAGCGTCTCCAGAATGTTCCTGGCCACGGCATCGGTCACCAAGTGGAGGTGCAGTGGGTTTTTCCTTTGGGAGGGACAGAGGAGGAAAGCTGGGACACCGGGGGACAAAGCTCCACCCCAAGCAGCTCAGAAGTGGAAAGACTTCTTTCCTGCCTCCCCGCCTGGCGGCCCCTCCCCCCACACCTGGGCTACCTGTAGAAGAGCAAGGACTTGACCAGCGTGATGACGTCTCGGCTGGTTTTGTGCCCGGCACACACGATTGCCACGTGCAAGAGCTGGGGGAGGGGGCGACACTGAGGCTGTAAACTATGTTAAATCAGGGAGGACCACGGCTGGCCTGGCCTGGCCTGGCGCAGTGCAGCCCGCCAGGCACCTGAGCTGGGGAGGAGGAGCCAGGAGGGGAGCAGAGTCCACCCCCTCCCCCCTGTCATTTCACAAACGGACACCTGTAAGAGGAGGCGCGAACCCCATGCGCCCCAGCTGGCTGGCCACAGCGCCAGGTGCTGTGACTCCCACAGGTGGCCAGGTGGCCGCTGGGCGCCCGGTCTCCCGCCGCCGAGGGCCCCCCTGCACACCCACCTCGCACTTGGGGGGCAGCGGCCGCGGCAGGACGCAGTCAGAGCGGTTGTGGCCCCCGTGGTCCTCCTGCGGGTGCGGGTCGCGGACAGCAGCGCCCCGGGGCCGCCCGTCGGGGGGGACGCGCGGCGGCAGCGCGCAGGGGAAGGACGCCAGGTGCCCGCCGAGCAGGAAGAAGCCGAGCAGCAGCAGCAGCAGCAGCGCCGCGGCCCCCAGAGCCCGGGGGCGCCCTCGGGGCAGCATGGCCGTCTGCGGGGCGCTCAGGGCGGGGCGCGGCCCCGGGCTGCGGGCTCCATCGCGGGCCCTGAGGATCCGGGGAGAGAGGAGGGTCGTCAGCCTTGGGCGGCGGGGCCCCGACGGCCGCCCGTCCCCCGCCCTCCCGCGCTGGGCCGCCACCTCACCTAGTCCTGCGGCTCGGGGAGCAGGTCCTTTCTCTTCCCAAAGCCAGGCGGGGTGCCGGGGGAAAAGCGCAGGCCAGCCCCGTCCGAGCAGGAGCCGGCCCCGCCCCCAACCTGGGTTCAGGTTTCACCTCCGCTTGGCTGAGCCCGAAGGGGCGGGGAGACCCCCGGGCGGGGAAGCCCGGCCCCGCCTCCGCCCTGGCATCCGACCCCCACCCCCCCAGCTGGGGAGGAACTCAGGTAGCCTGCCCCCCTTCCCACCCCCTAGACTGGAGGAAATGGGGGGCCGCCCGGGGAAGGCTCAGTCCCAGGTGCCTGCTCTGAGCCCATCCCCTTCTTGGCTGCCCTGGGGCCTCCCCTCCTCCCCTTCACCTCCCTCTGAGGGTGGGTGGCCCTGACCCTGGCCCGGAATGGAGGGGCTGCCCAGTAGGGAGGCTGGAATGCGGGGCCCGGGGTCAGGGACACCTGCTCTGGGAACAGGAGGCGGGACACCTGCTCCGGGCGCTGGAGGCCGGGCCGGCCAGGACGTGCCCCGGAGCCATGGAGCACCTGAGTCCCCTTCCTCCCTGATCTTCCCTCCGCTCCGATCCCCGCTCCCCACGCCGCCTCCCGCGCCGTCCAGGTGGCCCCGCCAAGCCCAGGGGGCGTGGGGGGGCGGCTGGGACAAGGCGCCTCGGGACCGCTGCCTCTTTCTTGCCCAGGAACTGGCGAGAGACCTCACTGGATTTCCCGACTCCGGCTTGGATGAGATTGTGCGGGGTCCCGCCTGGACCTCCTCCTCCGCTCCCCCGCCCCCGCCCCCCACTGCAGGCTCCAGCCTAGTCTTCGCCCTGAACTGGGGAGGGAAGAGGCAGGGGGGACGCTGTGGACCACGAACGACAGTCGCGGTTGACTGAGCGTGTTACTCCGTGCCAGGCTCGGTGCTGTGGTTCCACAGGCTGCATCGCAGACATGAGTCCTGTGACACAGGCGTTCTTCTCCCTGAGAGTTAAAGGGACCAGTTAGAACACCCGGGCTTCTTCCCCAGCCCCTGCCCTGCAGGCTGCTCCCCGTTGCTCCTCCCTGAGGGTTTTCTGCCCCAGGACTTGCCCTTGATTCCTTCTGCCTGGATTCTGCTCTCACCAGGCCTGCCCCTCCTCCCACATCCCTAGGTTATTCTCTTCCTAGCACTCTTGAAATTGGGCCTTTTTATGTAGATTCGTAAATAACCTCTCTCCCACAGCTGGTGTCTGCTCAAGGGACTGGGTCCCCAGCACCCAATCAGAGCCTGGCCCATACCCAGTACTCAGTAAGTGGTGCTGAAAGTGGATGGGCCTTGTCTGAGTCTTTTAGCCCAAAATCCAGCTCTAAAAAGTGAAGGCCTGGCAGTTCCAAGTCCCCAAAAAGCTGTAACAAAGCTTCCCAGCCTGAGACCCTCAAGCCTCCGCTGAGAGGCCAGGATGCCTTTCTCTGGGGGATGAGGGTCTTTGGGCCTTTGGAGGCCAGAGGCAATGGTTGCCATGGAGATAGATGGCAGCCCTTGTAGATGTGGGAATTGAGAGATGAGGAGCTGCAGGGACGACCCCCGGCATCTGGAACTTTGAGCTTCCAGCCCCTCTGGCGCTTATCTCTACCTTGGAGTTGGATGGGGAGTGGGTGACTCTTTCTGCAAGACCCTCAATAAACTCTCTGTGGGGAGTAAATTTGAGGGAGCAAGTAGGGTACCCGGTCAAGGCCTGGTAAGGGAGTTTGTGGGGGGAGCTGGGCCAGCATCTGGGACTGAGAGGGACTGTGGTCACTCACAGTGCTGGCCCTGCTCCTTATTCAACCTTACCGTTTAGGGTAAGATGACCAGATCGTCCTGCTTTTGGTGAGCAGTGCTGATTTTTAACAATTTTTCCTGTGTCCCGCGGCATTTTAAAAAAGTTCCGATTTTTGTTTTTTCCTCCGAGACTGGTTTGGCTCAGTCAGTGGATAGAGCGTCAGTCTGCAGACTGAGGGGTCCCAGATTTGATTCCGGTCAGGGGCATGTACATTGGTTGCGGGCACATCCCCAGTGGGGGGTGTGTGGGAGGCAGCTGGTCTATGATTCTCTCTCATCGATGTTTCAAACTCTCTATCCCTCTCCCTTCCTCTCTGTAAAAAATCAATAAAATGTTGTTTAAAAAAAAAAGTCCTGATTTTTGGAAAGATTGTACTCTTTCCAAAAATCAGGATTTTTTTTTTAATGCCATGGGACGCGGGAAAAATTGTTCAAAAGAGGGACGATCTGGTCACCTTAATTTAGTAGAAACATCTCAGCTGAGATGCCTGCTGGGCCTCCAGGAGGTGATCTGGGGGTGAGGAGGGGAAAAGGAGACTGATAGGAACATATGGAGTGTGCTGGTCTTCTAAACCTGAGACCTGCATTTGCCCAGCACTTCGCTGTGTGACGCCCCTCTGGGCCTCAGTGTCCATCAGTACCGGTTGGACTAGTCGAGCTCTGATCTTCTGTGGCTCAGTAAGAAGAGGAGGGGTTCTCAGGGCAGAGTTAAGGAGGGGAGACCCGGCCCAACCTGCCCAGAGGCCTTTCCAATCCTGAAAGGTGACCAAATCCAGGCAGTGGCCCAGCAGGGTGGAGCTGCCCTGGGCGCCACCTGCACACAGTCACTCTTTGTTTCTGGGACATAATCAAGCCCAAAATCTGGAGAGGAAATTCAGGCAGCCCTCCTGCAGTCCACCTGGCTGGGCCCAGGATCCCCTCCCAGTCGTAGACGTGTTGTAGGCAGTTAGACTGATGTGAGCAGAGCAAGGACAATGGGTCAGGTGTAGAAGGTCTTCAGGGTGGAAAGCCCTAGGTGCCAAGCAATGACCAATCAATTGAAGAGTGGGACCTTGTCCCTAGGGTGACCTTTCCTCTCCTAGCATAGCACGGTCATGGTTGGAATCCCTGACCTTTCCTCCCTAGAGATAACATATAGGTCTTCAGTTGTATCTCAGCTCTAAGCCCAGATAAGCAATGCAACCTGCCAGGGCTGACCAGCTGCACTGAATAATGACCTCACCACCACAACCCCGCCCTGGTGCCAGCCAACCAATCAATAAAGACTACAACCCAAATGGACACACCTGCAAAGCTACTGAATAGTCAAAGATCTTTTTTTTGAGGCCTCCCCTAAAATATCTGCCCTTAGGACAGAGGGCCCAGTGCCTCCTCTCCCTTTCCCTTTCTTTCCCCAGGCACATTACCTACCATTAGCGGCCACTCCCAAGCTTCAAGGGCCCTTCCTTTTCCTCCATAGCTTGTTTCCTAAGCCCATTTCTTTTAGAAATCGCTTTTTCTACCTCTTTAATTTACCCAATAATTTGTTCTCTTACAGTTTGGGTCTGGGCTCTGAGGTCTTTCCTAGGCAGAGCCCAAGTACCAAAGTAGCTGCACCCAGGTGTGGTCTGACCCCTCTCCCCCATCAGACATAATGGTGCTATTCCCACCACCTACAACAGAGGGAGGCGAGAGAAACAGGCTCAAGCCTAAGAACCCCTCTTATTCTGTCTGCAGGAGGGTGCCCCTCTATTTTCCATGCCTCTCTCCTTTCCAGAAGCCCAGGATCACACAGGCTCCCTCCAGACTCTTCCCCAGCCACAGAGGGGAGTGGAGATGTACCCACTGGTGAGGTTTGGGGAACAAGTTCATTAAATGGTAAGGTGCTGCCCTAACTGGTTTGGCTCAGAAGATAGAGTGTCGGCCTGTGGACTGAAGGGTCCTGGGTTCAATTCCAGTCAAGGGCACATGCCTGTTTTGTTGGCTCAATCACAGTAGGGGGTGTGCAGGAGGCAGCCAATCTATGATTCTCTCTCCCTTTCCCTTTCTCTCTGAAATCAATAATAATAATAATAATAATAAAAAGATGGTAAGGTACAGGTAGGAAGGGGGGAAAAAGCCCTATACCAAATGCCCTGAGCCCTGGTCTTAATTTAATGCCAGTTGCTAACTTGACTCATAACCAATGGCTTGTCGGGCTGTGAGTCATAGGAGAAAGAGTGAGTACTGCCACGAGAGACCTACATTGTTGTCCTTTTGGCCAATGCCATTCTGTGTGATCTGGGACCAGTCCTTTCCCCTCCTTGGGCCTCTTATTCCCCGTCTGTGGAAAGGAGTTCCTAGCAACATGGCAAGGTTGCTAAGAAGAGCTGAGTGAGTGAGCTAGGCATTCGGGAGGTGGAGAGAAATTGTGTTAGTGATGCCCACACCCATCTCCTGTGCTCTCCAAGACCTTTGCTTCTCTGGAGAGCACTGGACACATCTCTTTGGATCTTCATTCCTTGGTCTGAGTAATGTTAACATAAAAACATTCAAACCTGTAAAGAATGTTTGTGAGTTTGAGCCAAATTGTCGACAATTGCCGGGAAGCAGTGTCTCAACGGATTGGGATAGAGCTCTGGAGAATGGCGGTTTTCATCTATTTTTACACATTGCAATCAAAGAAGGAGATGTAGGTGGGTTACGTGAAATCCACTGGTGATAGAGCAAATGGGAGAAAGCAAAGTGGGGAAACCTCTGGTGCCCAGGCACATTAGATTGTACCCAAAGGGGTCCAGAAAAAGGGAAGTTACAAGCTACCCAGACATTTCAAGGATATCTATATATATAAAAGCTTAAGCAACCAAAAGACTGGACCACCCAACAACCTGTTGACTAGTCACTATGAGTGCACTGACCACCAGGGGGCAGAAGCTCAACACAGGAGCTGCCCCCTGGTGGTCAATGCTCTCCCACAGCTGGAGCACTGCTCAGCTGACCATTGGGCCTCAGACGCAGGGCTCACAGCTGGCAGGTGTAGCTGCAGTGGTGGGGGCCTCTCCCACCTCTGTGGCAGTGCTACTGTAGCTATTGAGCGGCAGCAGGCACTGCAGGGCTGGAATGAGCGGGAGCAATGCCTGGCCTGGGCTCAAGACCCTCCCAGCTGCCTGGCACACTGCTACATCCCTCAGGCCTGACATCCCCCCCAGTGGTTCCGGATTGCAAGAGGGTGCAGGCCAGGCTGAGGGACCCCCACCAGTGCATGAATCCGTGCACCAGGCCTGTAGTGTTGTTATAGATGCAAAAAGACAGGCGCAGTTAAGGTGAAGATTGGCCTTGTCAGTGAAGATACAGGCCTAGGAGGTGACTACCCACCAAAACTACTTTAAAGTTTAATTTCAGACCATCCTTTGTGGTCCTTTAGGTCTCTGAGTTTGCAAGACTGCCATGCAGGCCTTCCCTGAGCTTGTCAGGTTAGCGCGTGGCCCCTTTAGTCCACAGTCGGGAGGGCAGCTGTGATTCCTCACCCAAACTAGAAGAAAGGGTGCTGGGGAGAAGGCTTGGGGGAAGGAGAACAAAGAGGGAATGTGGCTTCCTGGTGAGGTGTGCTGCTTAAAACACCTAACTGGTCACATTAGACCAGGATTCGAATCTTGAATGGGTTCTTCTTCTTCTTCTTTTTAAAATCCTCACCCGAGGATATTTCCCCATTGATTTTAGAAAGAAAGACCGAGAAAAATATCAATGTGAGAGAAATGCATAGATTGGTTGGTTTCCTCCTGCAGGAGCCTCCAACTGAGGTATGTGCCCTTGTCCCTAACTGAATCTGGGATCCTTCGGTCCGCAGGCTGACGCTCTTTCCACTGAGCCCAACCGGCTAGGGGTTGACTGTGTTCATACGCGGATCCTTTCCTCATCTGGGGATAGTATCTGGAGGAAAAGATTCGGTAAAATAATGAATTACTGTTCTCAGGGTACCACAAACCTGCCAGCAGCCCCGCCCCCTTCTCCACAGCCAATCAGCAGCTGCTTCTCCGGAGTGTTTGTTACTCTCGCCTCTGGCCACTCTACTCCTTGGCGCAGCCCCTTTCTAGGAGGCTCCTGGGAAGGGGTCCCCAGGATTTGCCCCCATTGCTTACGGAGCAGCTGACGCCCGAAAGCGGACCAAGTCTGCCCTCAAACCCGAGGTCCCGAGAAGGGAAGCTCCCCATCCCAGAGCCGAAGCTCGGGCCAGGGCTTCTCCACGGAGGTGGGAGTGCAGGTGCGCGCTCCTGGTGGGCAAAGCCCTTGCGGGAAGAGTTTGGGCCGAAGCAGGGCACTGACGGTGCTGTCTGGGGTATTGAGCCTGCGTGAGATGCTGGACCCATCGCTGCCTCCGTTCCCCTAGCACGGCCTCTGATGGGGACGGAAGGCGATGAAACTGGCGACACGCGCGCCTGCCGAGACACACCCCGACTGTATTAGACTCTCTCGGCGCCCCCTCAAGTCCGATGGAGGCTCCTGTTCGCCGCTGCCTCCCAGCCCTTTAAAGCCCGGCCCTCGCGTTCGAGCCTCTCGGCGTTCCATTGGAAAGACTCTAGGCGCCGGGACCTTGCTCCAGAACACGTGGCTCAGACCGCCCCGGAGCTTCCCCGGGGCTGGAGCGGCGCATGCGCAAGGGCAGCCAACCGGGAGGGCGGAAACCCGGTCCGGATTTGCTGAGCTGCCCCGGGGGGGTGGGGGGGGTGTCAAGGGAGGGCGGAGAGTGTGTTAACCAATGACCTGGAGGAGCGGGGAGGGCGGATTAGGCTCTCAGTTGCTAGGCGCTACCTTGGGGGGAGGGGGAGGCAATGTAAAAAGATGGGGTGATCTGGGGTTCAATGGCCCTTCACATCACCGTCCTTCCAGACCGCGGAAGTTAAGCAACCGAGAGGCGGGCTTAGCGCCGGAAGCAGGAAGGAGGGCACAGGAAGCCAGGCGCCGCAGCCACTGGCACAGTCGGTCAGTGGGTCTGTCGGTCCCCGGGCAGGATGGAGAAGCTGCGGCTCCTGGGCCTCCGCTACCAGGAGTACGTGACTCGTCACCCGGCCGCCACGGCCCAGCTGGAGACGGCAGTGCGGGGCTTCAGTTACCTGCTGGCAGGTGCCACCCCGACCTTTGACCTGTCCCTCTGAGTCACTGACCTCTGACCCCACAGGTCCCCTTCCCGGAGGGGTCAGGGGAGTGTTCCCTGGGCTCAAGAAGTTCCTTCCAGGCACCCGTAGGGCGTAGGGAGGGAACACCCAGGGACCCGAACCCACAGGGTGGGACAGCGCTCTCAGACGCCTCCTTCTGTGCCTTCTCCTCAGGTCGCTTCGCCGATTCGCACGAGCTGTCAGAGCTGGGTGAGCCGGGCTCAGGGGCGTGGGGGTTGGGGGGCGAGAGGGCCCAGGAGTGCCTTCCAGTGGGTGACCTCCCCAAGTCGCAGTCCCCGGCTCCCGTTAGGTCGTCCTGTGCTATGACTGACTCGCACAAAGGTCCAGCATCCACTGTCCTGGGCCCTTGGTGTCCCCAGGGTTGAAAGACAAATCTGGGCTCCTTGACTGGTCAGGCGGCTGGCCCAAGTGTTTTCCTTGCCTTTGCCCAGTTAATCCTCCCGACAGTCATATGAGGTCAGTGCTGTTGTCCTCAGCGTCCAGTCAAGGGAACAGAAGTTCAGTGAGGTCAGAGAACAGCCGCTGATGATCCCGGAACCAGGATTCAAATCCAGATTTCCCAGGTTCCAGGGTCCCCAGGCTGACCCTGCCTCTGTAGTGTTTGCCCAGTGAGTACTGCAGGGGATGGTGCTGAAAGGAAGCGCTGGGTTTTGAAAGGTGGAGATGCAATAGGCTTTCCGTGACCAGCTGCAGAGAGAGAGCGGAGGCCAGGAGGTGAAACCACACATCTGGGGCTATTTGAAGCACAAAGGGCAGTTCTGGGTTGGTTTTTCACTGAGATCAAACCATCCTTTCTTGTTCCACTTGCCACACGAGATCCGCTTGGGGAGTGTGGCGCGCTGAGGAAGTGGGCAGGGAGGCAGGTCGGTTTCCACATAGTCCGTGGGTGGCTGAGCACAGCAGGTGATAGGTGATTCAGGCATCACTGGAGAGAAGGTGAGGAGGTGGAGGCTGCAGAGCCAGCCTCTCAAGACCACACTCTGTCCCTCAGTGTACTCTGCCTCTAACCTGCTCGTGTTGCTCAATGATGGGATCCTGCGCAAGGAGCTTCGGAAAAAGCTGCCCGTGGTGAGCATTCTGCCGGGAACCGAGGACGGGAAGCATAGGGACTCAGGAAAGACAGTAACAACCAGCCGGTGTGTGCAGCACATGCTCTGTACGGTCTCATAGATTATGAGACATGCCCATGTCCATTTGAGCCTCGGACCATCTCATTAGGTGAAGTGTCAAGGTGTCCACGTCCCCATTTCAGATGAAGAGACTGTTTCGGAATCATGGAGTAGCCTGTCCCAGGTGGAGAACTCAGGCCTTCACACCTGGGAAGGGGAAAAATCCACCTCCCGTCAGAGGAGGGCCCTGGGGGAGGCTTGGGATGAGGGCGTGTCCCTTGATCTCTTGGCCTGGGGTTCTTGCAGTCGCTGTCCCAGCAGAAGCTGCTAACATGGCTGAGCGTGCTGGAGTGTGTGGAGGTGTTCATGGAGATGGGGGCCGCCAAGGTGTGGGGTGAAGTGGGCCGTTGGCTCGTCATTGCCCTCATCCAGCTGGCTAAGTATGTTGGGACTGTGGAGGGAAGGCCCTAGGTGGGGGTAACCTGGGGTTCAACAGCTCACCTCTGCACCCCTGCCGGCTAGTCACCTCCCCACCAGCCCTGCCATACTCCCAATCCAGGGCAGTGCTGCGAATGTTCCTGCTCATCTGGTTCAAGGCTGGCCTCCAGACCTCACCCCCCATCGTTCCGCTGGACAGGGAGACCCAGGCACGGCCCCCGGGTAAGCCGCTTCCCTGCTCTGGGGCGGAGTGAGCATGGGACGACTACTCTGTGGATTTAGAGCTGACCCCGTGAGCCTTGTCCATTAATGGAGCACATCTGTCCCCATCAACTCATTTGTTCCCGTCACTATGCATTTTACAGAGAAGAGAGAAATTGGGTTGGGACAGAATCAGAACTTGAACGCAGGACTTCTGACATCAGAGTCCCCATCCTTTTTTGTGGGCTGCATGAAGAGAAGAGAGAGTATGAGCAGGAGATGGGGATCCTGCCAACCTTATCTCTGGGCCTGCCTCCATATGCAGAACCCCCAGCTCAGGAGGCAGGACCCCCAGCAGATCTATTCCTTCAGAGCTTCAGGCCCATCACCTATTGGGCTCTGAGTCTCATTCTCCTGGCCTTGAGCAGAAACAGCTCTTTGCTTCTCCTCTTGATCATGTTGAAAGCCAAAGATTAAGGAGATACAGCCACTCCAGTGCTGTGGTTTCTGTAGATGTGGTTGGGTTCTCCCTGCTTCAGTGTCCTTGCCCCCGCTGCTGCCTTCGCCCAGGCTCCTCCATTCTCCCCTGAGCCCACGAGCCTTCATTCACTGCACACAGATTCTTTGCAGGCTCCGCTGGAAACACGTCCCTCTGACAGCGTGGCCTTCTGTCTGTCCCTGCTAGATGGTGAGCACAGCAGCCAGGAGCAGTCATACGTGGGGAAGCGGTCAAACAGAGTGGTGCGAACGCTCCAGAACAGTAAGTGTGAGGCATAGCCGGACGGGGCATCTCAGTGCGGAGTCATCATGGGCCTACGGGCCTGGCTCTCCTCACTACCCACCCTCCCCGTGCCCAGCCTGGGCCTGGCTGCTCATCTGCCTCTGTGTTCTAGCCCCGTCCCTGCACTCCAGGCACTGGGGGGCCCCCCAGCAGCAGGAGAGACGGCAGCAGCAGCACCAGGAGGAGCTTTGCAGTACCCCCACCCCTCTGGGGCTGCAGGAGACCATCGCGGAGTCCTTGTACATTGCCCGGCCCCTGCTGCATTGTATCCTTAGTGTGGGGCTGCCGGCCCTTGGGGGTAGGGATCGAGGGGAGTGAGCAGGGCGGGCCCTGTGCTGGAGACATCCTTGACGCCTTGGCCGTCAGTGCTCAGCCTGGGCCTCTGGGGGCAGCGGTCGTGGAAACCCTGGCTCCTGTCTGGTGTCGTGGATGTGACCAGGTGAGCCCGGGCCTGTCTGGGGGCTCCACTCCCTCCTCCAGGCTTTGTGCTACAAGGCCTGGCCCCACCTGGGCAGGAGGCGCCCTTATTCTTCCTGCTGCTGGTCCTAACCATGTTCCCTCGTCTCCCCAGTCTGAGCCTCCTGAGCGACAGGAAGGGCCTGACCCGGAGGGAGCGGCTGGAGCTGCGGCGTCGGACCATCCTGCTGCTCTACTACCTGCTGCGCTCCCCATTCTACGACCGCTTCTCCGAGTAAGGGCCCTACAGCGAACGGTGCATGGCGGGGCCCACCCTCAGCAAGGGAGAGAGGCAGGAAGTAGGATATCAGTGCCCCAACCCTTGTTCTCGCCTTCCTCCCTCCCTCTTTGCCCCATCCCAGCTTCACTGAACACCTACTATGTGCTGTCCTGGGATGTGGTCACTTGTTCGTTTATTGGATCCAGCCTAGATCTGCTCTCCAAGATCTTGGGACCACCAGCCATGGGTATAGGAGCTTACGCAGTTGTTGGCAGGAGGCACAGAGGATCTTGCCAGGGATGGTGGTGGGTTTGGGCTTGCCACACCCTCCAGGTCACTTGCACATTCCTGTCCAGTAGTTTGGATTACCCCCACTTCTTACAGGAGGCACTTGAAGTTCAAAGAGGTTGGGCAGTTTAAACAAAGCCACTCAGCTGGCCGGTAGCAGAGCCGAATCCCTTCATCCAAGTTCTCTCTTGGCCTGACCCTTGCCTTGCCCCACTTTGTCACCTGTGTGGGTCCAGAGCTCTTAGCCTCAAACAGACACAGGGAGGCCTGTATGTGTGTGTGTGTGGGGGGGGGGGGGGGGGAAGAAGTGGGAGGTGGGGAGAGTTGCCAGGGCCAAGTCTCCCAAGGGCCTGCTCATAAGGCGCTAAAGCCAAACCCTCTCCCATACTCAAGGGGCTCATAGGAACCTTATGACCTCCCCCCACAAATGGCCTGCTCTGTACAGAGGGAACATCACAGCCCGAGTATCTCATTGACAGGCATTTTGAAACAGTAATTGCAGAGGTGGCTTCCCAGGCTCCAGCTTGGCTCGCTCTCCGCTGAGCTGATCAGCCTGGCACTCGCATAGCGGTGCTCAGGCTAAGAAGGGTCTAGAAACCAGTCAGAGAAATCCCTTGTTTCCCCAGAGGACAGGAGCAGGGTGCAGTCTGGGAAGGCACAGTTCTTCTTCCCCTTTTCCTATTGTCACAGAGACAGTGCAGTCTCTCTGGAGCCTTGCTACCTTCCAGGCGTGAGCATCCCGGGCCAATGGCTGGGGGCAGGCAGAACCAGAGCTGTGCCCAAGGTCTCGTCCTTTGTACGCAGCCTGTCCTTGCCCCGTAGTTGCTTTCTGTTTCATGACGCACTGCCTGCAGTCAGGTGGTCGGGGAAAGCGTGTTAGCACCTCGTTTGCAGGGACCCAGACACGTCACTCAGCCTGCTCCCTGTTTATCTCCTCGCAGGGCCAGGATCCTCTTCCTGCTCCAGCTGCTGGCAGACCATGTCCCCGGCATCGGCCTGGTGACAAGTAAGCATGGGGCGGGTGTGATTATTTCTGCGTGCTGTGGATCTCATGCGTGGCCCATCCCCCTGACTGCCTTCTCTTTGTCTCCTTGTAATTTGATTCTTGCCACAACCAGAGAGGGGGCTGGAGGTCACAATAGGTGGGGAAGAGCTCCTGGACATGGGCCAGGCCGGTCTGTAGCGCGCCTCAGGCAGCTGGAAGGAGGGTGCCTGCCTTGGGAGGAATGTTAGACCTTATCAGCCGTCAGCCTTTTCTCTGCCTCAATGTCCTGGAGTGTCATGAGACTGGGTGGACACACTGGGCTGCTTGCAGAGTCTACCTCAGCAGAGTGCCACTGGGCTGGGCTGGCAGCATCTGTGCAGCTGGACACACTGGGTGGCTTCTGGGCATGAGCATGTAAATGGAGACAGAGATCGCTGCTGATACTGCCTCCTTGGGGTGAAGAGGTGAGGGAGTCGGGCTCCAGCCGTGCAGATGTGAACAGCTGTACTTGAGCAGCAGTGGCTGCTAGGAGCCTGGGCAGAGCAGAGCCAGGAGTCTGGCCCTCATCCTGAACTTGTGTTTCTCTCTCTCTCTCTCTCTCTCTCTCTCTCTCTCTCTCTCTCTCTCTCTCTCTCTCTCATTGCAGAGCCACTCATGGATTATTTACCTGCCTGGCAGAAAATTTATTTCTACAGTTGGGGCTAACAGACATCCGGGGAGTGGGGCCTGGGGAGGGGCAGGGGGAGCCTCAGCCCTTTGGGCCCTTGGGCCCCTGGGCCCTAATAAAACTGACTCTGGCACTATCCAAGTCTGTGGCCTCTCTGTGCCCACAGCCTGGGCGGCTGGCACTCCCACCCTGGCCAGGCTCTGTGCTCAGCCCTGGGTGCCACCACAGCCCTCTCACACCTTCTCGACTTTGACTGCACCCTCCAGTGGTGGAGCTGCTGCAGTTGTACCTTGTCGCTGGACCAAGAAGCCTCTGCTAGGATGGGACCCAGGTCCCTCAGCCACAGAAAGCTGGCATTGAACCTCCAGCGTGGGGAGCTGCTCGTCGTGGCAGCTGCGGGAGTCAACTGCCCGTCTCACTGGTCCTTGGTGACAAGGCTGAACCTAGGCAGTGATGACAGCTGCCTGTGTGTCTTCCGGCCAGAGCCTCGGTCTGCCCCGCCCCCTGCAGGGCCAACTTCTGTGAGGGAGCCTGGTGAGTGGTGGCCCAGCTCCCTGCAGTGTGGTACCTCAAGCCCTGAACTCCTAGTTAAGAGCAAAAGGCTTTTCTCATTTGGGAAAAGAATGCCAGGCACCAGCTGGGCTGGAAGGAACAGCAGCTCAGGGAGCTGGGTGCTGGTTCTGCCTGGTCTTTCCCTTTCCTGCCCCCCTGCCCTGCCCCCTTTCCCTGTAAACAGGCCACACTGTGCTGCTGGTTTCTAGCCAAATGGTGGTCCCTTAAGTTCCGAGAACTCGGTCTGCATCGGTGTCTGTCATGTGTCACTTCCTAGACTCCCAGGTGAAACCCTTCCCCACCCCACTCCCACCCCACCCCCACCCCGGGCCCAGCCTTTCCTGGACTGCTTTCCCTGGTGCCTCCGAAGCCACCAACCCCAGGCCCTGTCACAGCCTGAGGCCCACAGCCTTCCCCCGTGTCTAACAAGGATTGCTGGGCACTTGCTCTGTAGCAGGCTCTGCTTTGTGCAGTTTGTTCAGAAATGAGTACAGCACAGCTCTTGCCCCAGCTCTCCGCAATGCGTGGAGGAGACCGGCATGTACATGCATGCAGTACGCGGGTCACTGCAGCAGGTGCAAGTGTGTGTGAAAAGTGGTCTAGACTTGGGGTGCATTCCGGCTCAGGCTGACGACTGACTGGGAAGGCTAACTGGTCAGGGAAGCCTTTGTTTAAGCTGGCTGTCAAACCGGTAAAGCTCCACCTGTCTTTTGATGGCCGGCGGGGGAAGAGGCCCTGTGTGCGGAACAGCATGTGCGGCGTTGAGTGGTGTGAAGCCAGTGCCGGGGCAGAGGGAAATGGGGCGGGGGGGGGGGGGGGGGACAGAGGGGCTGAGGCTGGAGAAGGTCAGGGCCAATTCCAACAGGCCGTCAGGTACCAGGTGAGAAATGGACCTGCCTCGAAGGCAGGGGGAAGCTGGTTGGTGCAGGGTGGGCTGGCAGGCACAGACAGAGATGGGGGCAGTGACATCGCTGGTGGAGACCTAGAACTGATGGAGCTGAATTAAGGCCATGCAGGGCGATAGGGTTAGGAGTGGCACAGGCAGGCCTTGGAACTGGTTGTAGGTAGAGGAAGAGGTGACAACTTCGAGGCAAAGCGAGTGAAGGACAAGGGGTTGGGAGTTAGAGCGTCGGGGAGCTCAGTTCCCAGCAGAGAGGAGCTTTGCTGGGGACTGGATACAGAAGCAGACTGGTGTTCAGGACACAGAAAAGGTGGTGGTCAGTGAGAAGTCGGTGGGTGTGCTCCAAGCACAGGGAGTAGGTGTCCTGCAGACTCCAGAGCTGCTCGGACTCGGCGGGGGCTGGACCAGGAGCCTGGTTGGGAAACCTCTCTGGGCCTGAGGCACCTCAGCAGCTGAAGGAAGGGGTTGCACCCGCCAGCGGATCTGCTGTCTTGGAAGGAACGGAGTTTCCCAAGTGCAGACCCCAGCTCAGCCTCAGGTTCTGATCCCACCGGACTCGGTGGGCCCAGTTTGTGGTTCACCCCAGCATCGTTTGGGTTCAGAGCTTCTGTGTGAGCCAGGTCAGCCCCACATGAATGGGGCCGACTGGAACCAAAGACAGGGTCCCCCACTCAGCCACAGGCTGTGAAGATTTTTTCCAGCACACTGTTGAATTGCATTTATTCATTCAACAAATCTTTATTGAGCGCCCACTAGATGTCAAGTGCTGGGGATCCTGTAGTCCTCTGGAAACTTATACTTGAGGAGCAGGCCCCAGCCTCTGCCCCTGAACTTGCCCCTGCCCAGTCTCTGCAGTGATGGCAGGGCCTGTGGAGGCCCTGAGCCAGGCTGTTCGACGCTATGGGGAACTAGCCAAGCCGAGTGACCGCTCTGGGCTCTTAGCTGGCCAGCAGGAGCTTCCTGGAACGGCTGAGCTGTTGGAGGGAGACAGTGGAGGTGGTGGTGGTAGCAGGAGGCAGGGAGGAGCCAAGTGGGAATGGGAGGGGCTCTGGGAGATGAGGATTCAGAGACTGACTTTTGCTGATAGCCTACTGTGTGCCAGACCTTGGAGACATTATGTGCTTTACCTCACAGATGAGGAAACTGAGGCCCACAGAGATTAAGTGACGTGTCCACCTAGCAAGAGGCAAGGTAAGGATTTGAACTGAGAGCCGACTCCAAAGGCCTATGCCCGTAAGCCTTGGGCAGTGGCACTAGAACAAGATGTGATTTGGCACCAGCCGACCTCCGTCGTCAGTAAAAGCCAAGAAAAACCCTCAGTGTGGAGGTTTCTGGCCTAGTCAGGAGCTGGTGCTGACGCTCAGCCCCGGAACTAATGTCCTTTGTGAGGTGGCCCTGGGAGCTGGCAGCAGTTCCGTCTGCTGGGGGAGGGGCAGCAGAAGCCAGGATCCGGACCCGAGAAGGAATGGCTCTGTTCTTCAGGGCCGGGCTAAGCCTCTGCCTCCTCTCCCTCCTCCTCCCCCAGCTGCTGAGGTAACTCTCAGGAGCACAGGGTCAGGGCTCAGCAGGGCCTGGGGCCTAGGAGGTGGGGAGCAGTATGGCAGAGGAGGAGAGGCTGGTGTTATTATCCTGGACCACTCCCTGCTTCACAAGGAGGCGATAGTGGCCTTTGGGGCCAGCGTTGAGCACCCCAACATCTCCCACAGGCCTCAGCGATCTGTTCTCGAGGAACTTTCAGCCCCCCTGGAACTCTCACAGCCACTGCCCGACCTGCTGGATGGTAGGATCCCGCATCCCCTTCCCTGAGGAGACACGCCCTAGGGGAGGGCATCCAGGTCCAGCCTCAGGGTCATCTTTTCTCAAGCAACACCTGTTCAGGGGTGACTTCAGATTCAGAACCAGAGTCTCCCTCCACCCACACCCTCTTGTTTCTCTTTAGACTATGGGATCCAACCCAAGCACCCAAGGCCTCGAGGGCCCCGGCCCCTCCTCCCCCGGGCCCAGCAGCGCAAGCGGGATGGACCAGACATGGCTGAGTATTACTTCGACACACGCCGGTGACGGGAATCACTTATAAAGCTATTCTGTGCAGTAAAGCCTTGGGCTTTCCTGGTTGGGAATGAGCTGAGCATGGGCAGGCAGGGTCCAAGTAGATACACCCACTGCAGTCCAGACAGGAAATGGCACTTTAATAGTTGTGGCCAAGGTGACAGGACCGAGATGGGGCTACAGCCAAAGCAGCCAAGAGGCCGGGCTGGCCCGGGCCAGGGGGAAGCCGCCTTTTCCTGCCAGGATGGGGCCCTGCTGCGGCTCTCTCCTTCCTTGAGGGGCCCCACAACCGCGGGGGCCAGCATGCCAGCGAGGTTGGAGGTGGAGCCAGCCAGAGGCCACACAAGTGACAGAGCTGGGGACAGGGATGCACCTCCACCCGCTGCCGTTTCCTTACCGGAAAGTCCTTAGGAGGTGCCGGTCTCAGCCTGAGCTCAGGGCCTTTGGTTGGGGTTGGGAGTTGGGGGCAGGGTGGGCACTTGCAGGTGGCATGGGCTTCATCAAGGCAGAAGAGAGCCAGAGGCCCTGGCAGGGGAAGCGTGGCCCAGGATGGGACAGCCTCACCCTCTGCTCATGGTTGGACATCCTTCCTGGCCACAGGCCTGACCAGCCCTGCCCCCACCCAATCCCCGGGCAGCCAGCTCTGTCCTCCATAGATAAATCTAACCCCTTATATTACAATAAACTGCATTTGCCTCTCCCCGTAACCCCCACCCTCCCACCCTCGGCCGATGGCCTCCACTTCCCCACCCTCTGGTGGCGGCGGGTGCCCTCCTCCAGCAGGGTCACGTCCTGTCAGCAGCCAGCTGTCCTGGCACTGGCCTGAGGCTCCGGGGATGCAGAGGGCAGGCAGCGCTGCTACTCCAGGTAGATGTCTTCCGTGGGGCACGTATACTCCACAAACTGCTTGTAGAACTGCTGGAACGCCCTCCTAGGAGGCAGGAGACACACGCTGGCTGGGAGGAACAGGAGCCTACCTCCAGGTTCTCAGACCGGAGCCTCAGGGTCCCCGGGTGGCTCCAGGCCCCTGGCTGCTCGGCCCTGTTCTCTACAAACTGTGTTTCCTAAATGAGACCGCAATTGGCGAAAGGGTCTAACAGCTAAAATGCTTGGAAGCTACTCCTCAAGGCCTCTCCCAAGGTCCCTGCACTGTGACCTGGAGGCGGTGTGCAGAGCCGGGGGGTGGGGGGTGGGGGGCAGAGGGTGAGGCTGAGCACGAGGATTGTGCTTGAGGGCTTGGGCCTGGGCTGGCTGGTGGGCCCGGCGCTTGGCAGGACACACACATACGTACCCCACAGATTCCGCCAAGACTTTGGTGGATTCTTCAGACACAAAGACATGGCAGGCAAACCGGTGGTCAGCGGGGTGCTTAGTGATAAACCCAAAGTACCTGTGGGAGGACAGCAGTCTGTCTGGGCAGGACGGGGGCTCAGACCCCTCCAGGCACATTCGTGGCCCCTTGTCCTGCCACGATGGCCCCAGACCCAGCCCACACCTCGGCCTCTGCTCCTCCCCACTTACTTGTTGTTCTTTGGATGGTATCCACAGAAAGAGATGTTTTTTAACTGGAAAAAGTGGCTACATTTATTCCCCTGCAGGAGGAAGAGTAGAAGAGGGTGGTCATCAGCCTGCAGGGGGCAGAGGAGGGAGAGCCGGGATGGGGAAGGGGCCGTGGGGGTCACCTTGGCCTCCTGGGAGTCATCAGCCTTGACGCCGATCTTCACGCCCCTCACGCTGATCTCTAGGACGCAGCTGGAGGGCGGGTTAAAGTGCACGGTGAGCCGGCGGGTGGTGGCGATCTGTGGTGAGGGACAGGAGCATCAGGCCTGGGGGGGGTCCCTCTCCCAGGAGAGAACGGGGCCTGGGCTGGGGGTGGGCGCCCGCTTCGTGGGGGCAGGAAGCAGCTACCTTTTGCATAGCGGCACAGAGGACGTCATTGCCCTTGTGGTAGGGAACCTGGACGGAGCCCAGGAACTTCACCCGAAACTGGTCCACCCAGTCGCTGTTTTTGGTCAGGGCTGGAAAGCAAGCATGAAAGTGAGGCGTGGCAGAGCCAGCAGAGGGTGCCACATTCCACGTATGCCCCACGCTGGCTGGGCTCACGTCAATCAATTGTGAAACTGACCCAAAGTCCCCTCTGCTCGGCCCCCTCCTCCCTGGTGCTGAGAGCTGGAGCACAGGTTCCCCCGCAGCAAGCCAGGGCAGGCGGGATGTGTGGCCCGTGGCACCAGGCAGGGGGAGAGGAACACTACCTGCCATCTGTTCAGGCTCCTTGGTGACCTCGATGGCGTAGTAGGCGGGAAAGATGCCCCGGGCCCCCGTGCGCATGTTGTAGGCCTCGTACCAGTAGTCCTCGGCCTGGAGCTCCACCAGCAGGGGGTCGTCCACTTCCAGCTCAAGTTCATCTTCATGGCGAGGCACAAACCTGTTCCCAGAGAAGGCACGTGAGGACTCCAACCACCGGCCTCTCCAGCCAGGCCTTCCATCTCGCCCCACCCTGCTCCGGGTCTGGGAGCTGCTGCACTGGCATCATTAGTTCAATAAACAAATTTTGCAAAAGCGTCTGTGAGCCTGTCAGTGCTAGCTCCTAGGGGAGCAATCAGATATGCGTCGGCCCCGGGAGGAAGTGACCGGAGCCACTGATAACAGGTGAGAGGCGACGGGAAGCAAGCACTTGCATGTGGAGGGGAGGGAGGCTGTGGGTTTGCTGTGGGGTCAGGTATCAGGTGCGGGGCGCCCTCCTGGGCCCTGGTCCCGTGCAGATCGGGTGCTTGCGCCTGCGTTCTGGCAGCAAAGGCCACAGGGCACCGAGAACATGGGCTCCGGCACCCTGCTCATACTTCCGAGAGGACAGACACTGTTCCCTGGGGCTGGGAGGGCGGATGAATGCCGGTGGCGGGTTGGGCTTAGGCCATGCGATGGTGGCAGAGGCCCGGGGCTGCGGGGCCAGCCCAGCTCTGTGCTCTTACCTGAAGATGGCCCGATGGGTCTGCTCCTGCTCCTCCCCGTTGATGACACAAGAGAAGAGCCCAAAGGACTCCGCACCTGTGGGCGAAGGGCACTGGCTGGAGGGGGAAGGTCCCAGCTCTGGTCCAGTGTTGAGGGGCAGGTAGAGAGCTCACTGGATGGGCCTGAAGCCTCCTCCCAGGAGCACCCCCTTTTCAGCTCTTCCCACCCAGGCCCCCCCGTGGCCCCCGCTGCAGACTCACTGGAGGAGCGAGAGCGGCCGCTCATGAAGACGTTGAGGAACTTCTTGGAGAAGTGGACGTCGGGCTCGTCGGGCGTGGAGTCCTCCGAGAGGCAGGCAGAGGGCCGCGGCCGCGGCGCCTCCTCGTACTCCTCCCCGATGGCCGACTCGTAGGGCGAGGAGGCGGAGGCGCAGTTGTCGTAGACAGTGGCCGAGTCGCTCTCGTCGCTGTAGTCTCCGAAGCACGGCCTCAGGCTCACCAGCTCCAGCTGCGCGTGCTCGTCCACCACCAGCGTGTACTTGACCGAGTCGTAGGACAGCGCGCTGGTGTCCGAGCTCAGGGAGGCCCGTGGGGGCGGCGGCGGCTCCCCCAGGCTCCCCCGCCACCCTCCGCCCAGTGGCTCAGCCCGCTCCGGGGAGGACAAGCAGTCGAAGCCCTCGTCCTCCTCGCTGATGGAGGGGTGCGGCCGCCCCGCTGTTGAGGGGTAGGCAGCGGGGTCTGGATCGGAGCTGACCGACATCCGGCTCTCAGCCGGCGGCAGGAAGGCAGAGGCGGGCTCTGCAGGGTCGGGGGGCCTCTGCACCGGTGTCAGGTAGATCTCCTCAGTGGCCTCCAGCCTCACGTCTGCCTGGTAGTGGATGCGGTCTCGATGCGAGTGGCCCCGGCCACCGGGTGGGGCAGCCTGAGGGACACTGGGAGGCGCCATCTGGGTGGCAGCACTGCGGCGGCAGGGGCTGTCGGTGGAGGTGCCTCTGTCTGTGGTGGGGGCGGGGCTGCTCTGGGGTGGCAGCTCATCGCTCAGGCAGATGTGTTCGTGTGTAGGCGTCTGCTCCCCTGCAGAGCAGGCAGGTTGGAGCTGAAGGCAGGTGCCCTCACCCTTGGTTCCCGGGCTACCTGCTCCCCACACTCAGCACCTCTACTCAGCATGTTATGCAGGAGCCAGCCCTCTCACTCAGGCCACAGCTGACCTCAGATGGGCTCACTCACAGCTGTGGCATAGGCAGTTTACCCCTACTCACAAGCTGGAGACTGCTGGGTTTGCCCTCTGCATGGGGACTGGGTGAGGGCAGGTAGGGATCCAGGTAGAGATCCAGGTAAGGGGAAGGGTACTGACTTACCTGTCTTCAGGGGTGAGGATGATCGAGACACCCGATCCTGCCAACTGTGCTTCTTGCCCAGAGAATTATTATTCAGCGTGTCCTGTGCAGGAAACAAAAGGCCCTTGTGACAGAAGCAGTCAGCAGTGCCCGGCACAGAAGGCCCTGGCCCTGCCCCCATCAGGCCATCCCTAGGCCATTTGCTGCACCCTACCCCCACTACTTGTCCAGGGCCTCACCCCCAACCCTCTCTGGAGTAGGCAGGACGGGCGGCGAGTCCCAGTCCACCCAGCCAGGCCTCCTGGCTCTAGCCAACCCTTCCTCTTGGCTCAGGAAGCTGGCCAAGCCTTAGGGAGATGCTGTTATCAGCCTCCACAAAAGAGGTGATGGCCGACATGTGTGCTGGTGAGTGGGGGAGGAGGTGGGGGAGAAGCAGGAGCCATCTGGGCACAGAGTCAGACCCCCAGTTCCAGACACTGGGGATTAGGTAACATGAAGACTTTCACGTCCAACCCAAGTGCCCTGAAAGCTCAGGACGCTTTGGCCTAGAGAAGGGGCAGAGGCGGCTGCAGAGCCTGAAAAGAGCTCAAGGAAGGGTCTCCCAGCAGTTGGCCTGGGGACTGGGGATGAATCATCCAAATGATGAATCCACAACACGGTTCCATCAGCCCCCCAGGAGCACATGACTGAGGGATGACAGATGTGGCTGTCAGGGGCCCTTCCTGCTAGAACTGTTGGACTGCCCCAGGAGCCCCCTCCACAAGGCCTGCATGCACGGCTCCCTCCACACACCTCAGGCCCCCTTCCCTGGGAACATCCTCACAGGCCCTCACATTCATGAATTTGGCTGCCAAAATCCACCCCTGAGGATCCTGGGAAAGGAACCGATCCTCTCCCAGCAGCCCCTGCACTCTCCACCAACAGCCCACCTCCCAGAGCTCCTCCGTACCCCTCCTCACTGGGCCTGGGAGACAAAGGGCCACAGCCACTCTCCCCCACCCTATTCAACCCTTCTTGGCATCCAGCCACCCAGCCCAGGGGCCTGAGGCCCCCAACTCAGCCGAGCCGCTCCACCTCCCATTTCTCCTTCTGCCTTCTGGGAATTCCCAGCTGCCTCTGAGCTCCCCATCCCCAACTCTTACAGTTTCTCATGGCCTCCCACCACACCGGCCACTTCCTATGCCCCTTTCTCCAGGCCCTGCTTCCTGTCCACCTTACCAGGAACCCCATACCCTGAGCAGGAAACCCTGCCACAGCCTGAGGCCCCAAGCCCCAAACCCTGGCAACCTCAAGCCCACTTCTCTTAATGCCCCGCTCCTCTCCTCTCCTTGCTCAGATCCGAGCGCTGCCCGAGGCCTTCACGCCTCCTCCCCCTCGAATGATCTTACCTGCCCCCAAGACCACTTCCCCAGGGACCTGCCCCCCTGGGAAGCCTTGGAAGGTCTCACATCAGACCCGCAAGTTCTTGCTCATCACCTCCCCGCGCGCCCACCTCCCGGGGCCGACCCCGGGAGCCGCCCCTTCAGCCCCGCCCCGCGCCGCCCGCGCCTCACCTGAGACCGCGGCACCTGCGGGAAGAGGTTGAGCGTGGTGGGCCGTTTGGGTCGGTACGTGTCCCCGCCGCCCTGACCCTGGCCCTGGCCCTGGCCTTGGCCCTGGCCCTGGCCGCGGGGCGCCGGCTCCTGGCGAGGCTCGGCTTCTGGCGGCCCTGCTCCCGGACGCCGCGCCGCGCGCTCCTCCTCGTCCTCCTCCTCGTCGTCCTCGGCGCCGGGAGTGTCCCCCGCCGCGTCGATCAGGTCCATCTGCAGCATCTCGGCCTGCAGCCGGCTCCCCGCGCAGCCGCCGCCCCCCGACAGCAGCCCGGCACGCGGGGGCTTCCCGGCGCAGACGGAGGGGTGTCAGGGGGCGGGGCCAGGCCGGGGCGGGGGCGGGGCCGAGGCCGCCGTGCCCCGCCCCCGCCGGGCGAGTCCATTCCGCGGCCGCGAAGAGGGGGGAGAGGGAGCAGGGCCGGAGCTCAGGGGGAGGGGGCCGCGCCCTCCCGCCACCGGCCAGGATGCTGGAGGCCGCTTCCCCCTTCCCATCCCCCCCCCCTCCAGCCGCAGCCTTTGACAGCCCACACCTCTCCCTTCCCCGCGGTCCCCCACTTCCGTACTCTTCGCACCCTCCCGTTCCCTTGGCAACAGCCCCGTGACCTCACCCGGCTAGTAAGCGGAGCCCAGAGTGAGGTCACCGCTGTTGCCATGGGGAGGAAGGGTCGCCTAGGAGTTCGTGCCGCATAAGGGATGGGGAAGGGGTTAGTATTTGGAGCGGGCAGTGAGGGAAATTGGGAAAAGAGTCTCAGGCAAGGGATTTTACGGAAGGGCCGCAGTGCAGACCCGAGGATCTGAGCGCGGCTGGAAGAGGGATGCTGAAAGGGAGGGGCGCCTGCGGGCACCTGCCCAGGCACTGGCACACCCCACCCTCCTGTCCACAGGCCTTGGCCCCTCCAACCTGAGATTCTCCCTCAGGCCAGTCTAACCTTGAGAGTTCCGAGTCCTATTCTAGTTCCAGCTCTTCCACTAACTCCCTGGCACCTTGGACAGGTTTCCTGACCCTCCAGTTCCCTCACCAGTTAAACTGCCTCTCAGATTCCCAGAGAGGTGTGAAAGCCCTTTGGAGCTTTCTCAGGCTCCTCGGGGTATAACTTAGGGCCCTCGCTGGTTGCAGGACCACCCTCTGCAAGGCTCTGCCTGTGCACATTGGCAGAGTAGGCATTTCGGGAAGAGAGTAAGTGTATGACCTTAGAGAAACTATACCAGGGCCTTAGGACCATTCCCCAAGCCCTGCCAGAATAAGTGACCTCTGCCTCCAGCCCTTCCTAGCCTGGTCAGAGGGTGGAGGGTTGGGGTACAGGTACTTCAAGGTTATCCTCCCCCACCCACTTGATTTCTTCTTTCCTGGCAGGCTTACAGAATCTCTTGGGAAAATAGGAGGTCAACCCAGAGATAGGAACCCCATCCCAACTCTCCTTTGCTGGCCACTCTCCTAGCACCATGTCTACTTGGCCAGCCACCCTCCTGGGGGCGAAGAGAAGCTCTGGACTCTGCCCCATGCTTTGCCTTCCATTTCCTGACTAGTGGTTCCTTCTCTCGATTCTGAAAAGATACAGGAGATCTCCATCTGATCCAGGTGCCCCCGACCCTGAGGACCTCCTGGTGGGATTCAGAGCTTTAGGGACAGAGTGAGCCATCTGTTCATGACAAACGCAGCAGCAATGCTGGGTTAACCCTCCAAATGCGCCTTTAGGGTCTGCGAGGCCATGGGGTGTGGTTTGGTGCAAGGGCAGCAGAGGGAGCGGGTGGCTCCCTCCTCCTGCCCCGGAGCACTGCGGAGCCCTGACTCCACCCTGCTCTGCCTCAGGCCCTCTGCCAAGGCCACTCCCCACAGGGTTTAGGGTCTTTCTGAGCGTTCCCCTAACTAAGGCCCTAACTGTTACTGTCCTAGACCGCAAGACCTCCTGCCCTCTCCCTTCGTGTGGGCATACCTCCTGCCTTAACTCCCGGCCAAAAAGAGAACAAAAATTCGGATGGAGGCCCAAGATGTGCCAAGCGTTGTACCGGATGCTTCCTGTATGCTGTTTCATGAATGAGGGTGCCATGGAGACCCTGAAAGCCCCTTAGTAGATGTGGGGGTGCCTTCCACCCTGTCCCTACCCATCCTGCCACCCCACTTGGGCTCCTGGGGGCCCACCCTTACCCGTAAGGACAGGGCATCTTTGCACTGCAGACTGATGCCGCACTCATCGGTGATCTCGGAGAGGTCTTCATCCTCAAACTCCTCCAGGCTGATATCATGGGTGAGCCTGGTGGGGGGACAGGAAGCCGGAGTTACAACCCAGGGGGACCACTCAGCCCTCTGACGTCTCCCTGGTACTTCCTCCAGGCGGCAGCCCCTCAGAGGCAGATCACAGTCCCCGGAGGACGGGACTTGGAGTCCTCCGGTGCCAATGCAAGGGGTAACCACCAGGCAGGGAAAGGGTTTGGGGCTCATGCCAAAAGGCAGTCTTCCTGGGGTGGCAGTGGAAGGGGAGACTCCGGGTTACCCCTGCTCCTGCCGGCTGGGAGCTGTCCATCCTGCTGCCAAACCAGAAGCAGTGCCTGGAAGGCCCAGCTGCTCAGAGTCTCAGCTCTGCCAGAGAAATGCCTCCCAGGGTCAAGGCAGGTGCCAAGGCCAAGTTCACCCACGGAGAATGTGAAGAGCTGAGAAGAGACTCTGAGGGATGCTTGCCTGGAGTCAGGGGCTTCCTGCCCAATCCCTGCAGCAACAGAACCCCCGGCGCTGGCAGAGGCCACTCCCCAGCCCTAGCGGATGCGCCATTCCCCCAGCTGGGAAGCCGCATGCCGCTTGAGTCACAGAGCAAGGAAGGGCGACCTGGAGTCCGTGTGGGTTGCTCCCACCCATTCCAGGACAGACGAGGTCACCAGTCTATGTCCCTGGTCTCCTCTCCAACCACAAAATCACTTTGCCCAGGTATGGACCCTGAACGGGCTACCCAAATGGGGTCAAGGAACTGGGGCTGGAGGGGTGCTGAGCTCAGGAGGCAGTGCACCCCAGCATCAGGACACTAGCTGGCTGTGCTAGAACCCTCTGCCCCAGGCCAGCCCCATGCCCCCTCTCACTGCTTACCCACCTGCCCCAGCCCTAGGCTCCACCAGGTTTTTGGTGTGAGTGGGACGTTTTAGAGAATTCTGTGGGGAAAGTTGGGAACAATTCTGAGCCTTTTTCCAAATAAGACCAAGAGACTGAGACTTAGAGAGAGAGAGAGAGAGAGAGAGAGAGAGAGAGAGAGACCCACAGTCCAAGGTCACCCAGGAGAGGTGGTGGCCCAGCCCCCAGGGGAGCCTCGGAGGCCCAAGCCCTCTGCCTCTCACCTCAGTCAGCCCCAAGCAGAGACTCAGAGCTCCACGGAGCTGCCCCCCCCCAAACCCCCCTCTCCCCCGAGCCCCCATTCCCCTACCAGTGCTCCCACTGATCCTCCAACCAGCTGTCATTGTCTGGGCTTGAATCCATCTTCAGGAAGAGCTGCATGGAGAGCCCTGCCCGGCCAGGGGGCTTCGGGGCCCCAGGACCGCCCTCTCATGCCCAGAAGGGTTGGGGGGCCCGGGCTCAGGGCAGGGTTGGGGCCACAGGCCTGGGCCTGCCTTTCCGCATGCTGCCCGCTGCAGAAGCCTGGAGAGCTCATTAAAAATACATGGGCCGGGAGACGAGACAGCGGGCCCGCAGACCCAGGCCCCAGCCCAGCTCTTCCAGGCCCAGCCCTCAGCTGCAGGCAGCTTCCTCCCCCTGCGATGCGATGCCCAATGCTGCTGTCGCTGCCGCCTCCCCGAGGGATCAGGTTACTGCAATCAATGCTACCAGCTCCACCTGCCCTTCCAATGCCCCTGCCAGGGGGGCTGGAGCGGCCCCCCTCCCTGGCCCAGGCTTGTAAGCAGATCACAGAAATCTGGGCGGTTTACCCCCAAACGCCAGCCCCTGATCTGCTTTAAAGGGCCAGCGCCACACTCAGGGCGCCTGATGACCAGATGGGGGTGGGGGTGGGGTCTCTGAAATGCTCCGTGAATGGATGGCCCACAGCTACATGCTCAGCCCCACACTACATCAGAGAGGTTTCTGTAGGCCCAGGCGGTACACAGACAGGGCTGACCGGGCAGCTCTGTCTCTTACTGAGTGCAGCAGAGAACCCTGCCCCTGACTAAGGCTCTGTCCTTCCAGCACCCAGGGAGTGCCTATGGGCACGAAGGCTCCACAGCCAGAGAGAGGGCAGACCCTGTGTGGGAGGGTGGCCTGGGAGGTAATGAGCAGAGTGACATAAGCAGAAGATGGAAGGCCCCTGGAGGGAAGGGGAGAGGAATTGGGACCAGGGCATAGGGGCCTTCTCTAATCTGAGGCCCGAGGGTAGGGAAGGTGTGGGAGTGGCAGTAGGCTGGGGAGAACTGTGCAGCCTACAAGCCAGAGCAGCTCTGTCCAGCCAGGCCGGCCAGCACAGGGTGGAGACGCTGGCTCTGAAACCCGGGTGGCTGGCACTAAATAAACAATTAATACACAAAACCCGGGCGAGAAGGCACCCCTGGGACTCGGCCAGTCATCAGGAAACCCTGAGATGCCCTCAGATTCTTCCCGCTCTGCTGGTGACCTCTGCATTCATCTACTCCTCTCCCTCACTGCCCAGCCCTGGTCCAGCTCCTGCCTCTGCAGACCCCCCACTGGCCTGCCCGCATCAGTCTCCCCAAGCCTGCACCACTCCACCCCACCTACCACTGTCTGGCCAAGCTGCCTGAAACACCACCCTCTGCCCTCCACCCAGGGGCCCTGGCATCCTAGGTCTCCAGCTCCTTTGTGCCCCCTGCGGCTGGGGCTAAGTTTGTATGGAGCACATGGCAGGCTCTCACCTGCGCCTGCTGGGAGAAGACTCAGTAAGCCGCTCCTCAGAAAGCCCCTGCTTCCCCCCTCCCCCTTACAGCCCTCCTGGCCACACTCACTGGTCTCATCCTCTTGCCTATGGTAGGTGTGTGGACACTGGGGTGGAGTGTCTGCCCTCAGACACTCCGGGTTTGCTCCAAAGGTGGGTGGAGCTCACATCCCCCCTCAGTCCCAGCAGGTGATGACTACATGCCCCTGAGGTCCTCCTGTATACACTAGGCACAAGCCTGCTAGATGGATGTCAATGACTTCCTTAGCTTGCTCCCCAGCTCATCTCCGCACCCTCAGGCCTCTGATAGTCCCACTTCCGGGACCGGGCAGGGACAGCTGTTTCCTCCTTTTTTTTTTTTTTTTTTTTTTAAGAAAAATCTTCTCATATATATATATATATATATATATATATATATATATATTTTTTTTTTTTTTTTTTTTCTTACAGAGAGGAAGGGAGAGAGATAGAGAGCTAGAAATGTTGATGAGAGAAACATCGACCAGCTGCCTCTTGCACATCCCCTACTGAGGATGTGCCCGCAACCAATGTACATGCCCTTGACCGGAATTGAACCTGGGACCTTTCAGTCCGCAGACCTACGCTCTACCACTGAGCCAAACCGGCTTCGGCTGTTTCCTCCTTTACAGAGGAGAAAACAGAGGTCACCTGGGGATCAAGAGCACCTGCGCTTGATCCCCAGCTCCATCAGGAGGGTTAAAGGAGCTCCCTATCTATCTTTTCTCTCATAAGCCAGGCAGGATGGTAGAACAGTCACCCTTATCAGGCTTGGAGGCCAGAGGCCTGAGATCAAATCCCGGCTCCACTGATGAGGAGCAGCGGCTCCATCTGCCGAGCAGAAGCCAGCTGTGCCCTGCCTCTCCCTCAGTCCTCACTACAACCTTGGGAGAGGGTTTATTTTGCCCATTTTCCAGATGGGGACTGTAGGCTCAGACATAAGGTGTTGTAGGTCAATGGGGCCGCCCACACCTGCTCACCCACCTCCAGGGTGCTGGCGAGGATTCACAGAGCAGAGTGTGAATTGCAGTGCTAGGACCAAAGATCAAGGATGGACTGGTCTAGGAGCCCCCTTTGCAAGCCATCCATCTCCATCCCCATCCTCATCCACCCTGGCCCTAGCCTTTTCTCCTGCTCTTCCCGGCCCCGCATCATTCAGGAAGCTCTTTGTGGAGGGAAAGCTAAATAGACCCTGGCTTCCTCCAGGCTCAAGGAAGGCCACTGTGGGCAGGAAGGGGGAAAGAAAAAATGGAGGGGAGGAGCGAGCAGAGGAAGGGAAGAAGGAGGGAGATTTCCTCTGAATCCCACTATCCACCATCCCCATGGAAACCTGAGCCCTGAGCCCCAGGAGCCGGCCTCAAGCTGAATCACACGCCCCCTGCAGGTCTCCATCCCTGGCCTCTAGGCCTGGAGACTCAGCTGGCGTCCCTTCGCTCAGCCACACAGCATGAGACATTCCCCGAGGTCTCATCCATATTGACCTTGGTGGCTCTGTGTCATGAGTTTGGTCTCTCGAGACTGCCCGGACCTGGGATCTGTCTTTATATTTGAGCCCCGCTCTTTGCGTTGACCTTACCCTAGTCCAGGGCCAGGTCCTGCCTTCTGACCCAGCTGGCTCCTCCCCGCATTCTGCACATGCCATTCTCCACACTCCCACCCTCCCGGAGCCGAGTTCTGACATGAACATGCCTTTTGTGTTCTGATGTTTATTTCATGGCCTTTTCCCTTGCGGTGTGCAGTCAGTCCCACCACACTGTTATCCTCTTTTCCCCCGCCACAGCCCCAGCCCTTTCTAGCTTGCTGTTTCGACCCACCAGCAGGCCGAGTTAGAACCGTATGCAAAGTACGAGCTACATGGTGAAGTGCTGAGGCTGTAGCTGAGCAAGGTCAAAGCTAAGCCAGGCATTGGGCTTTCTGGAGGCCATTCTTGTCTTCCTGCTTGTGGCTCTGCTGGAGCGAGGTGAGGACGCTGCCAGCTGAGTGGCCTTGGGTCCTGGCCATGGTACCCCACGCATGGGCCCCTCTCTGGACAGAGAGCATGGGTAGTCCCAGGGCCCAGCCTCCCTCTGCCTTCTGGGTGCCGTGGCTCACAGCTGTTCTCAGGACACCTGTGGATGGGCTGCTCATTCCCCTCTAACTTCCCTACAGGCCAGTCTCCCCTGGGCAACCCAAACCAACATCTGAAAGGCAAATGTAGTCCTGTCACCCCTCCCCAGCTCAGGATCCTTGAATAGCTTCCCCTGTCCCTTAGGCAAAGGGGCCAAAATTCTCACCAGGGGCCTGAAGGCTCAGCAGTGGCCTGCTCTCCCCTGTATCCTAGATCATCCAACCCCTCCCCGTACGCCATGTCTCCAACTCCAGCTCTAGACTCCTGC